AGGGAGAAGCAACTCTAATAACTGATTTCAATAATGTTGGTCATTATATGGGTATGTTAAATAATGCCAGTTATATTGAAAGTAAATTATTAACTTTCTTAAGAGAAGCATTAAATGCAGAAATAGTTTTAGGAAATATTACTAATTATACTGAAGCTTATAATTGGATGTGTCATACATTTTTAAGTATTAGATTAAGAAGGAATCCATTACATTATGGTGTTTAAAGGGCATATGATGATTTAGAATTAGATTGTGATACTTTAGTTTAAGAAAAGATTGAGTAGGCTTTGAAATAGTTAGATACATTAAAATTAGTGAGATATGACACAAGGAATCATCTAGTTACATCTACAGATTTAGGTAGAATTGCTTCACATTATTATATCAAATGTGAAACAATGAAGATTTTATGTGATGAAATGGGTTTGTCATTTGATTAATAGGAGAAATAAAAATTTAATGATAAGAATTAATATTAATTACTTAAGATTATAGCTAAGGCTAAAGAATTTGAAATGATTCGTGTAAGACCAGAAGAAACTAAAGAATTACAGAAGATTTATGATGAAGGTTGGGCATTTGAAGATGAACCTGATATTAGAAGTGATTAATTTGATAACTCTGCAAGTGTTATAGAAACTTAAGAGAAAGTTATTGCACTTATTAGTGGATATCTATTAAAAATGAATTTTGAAAATTATGCTTTAATAATGGATACTCATATTATCATTTAAAATACTATTAGATTATTAAGATGTATGTTGGATATGGCAATCAAGAAAAATTAAGCATGTATGGCACTTGAATTATTGAAATTATGTAAAATGATTGAAAATAGAATGTGTCCTCAATAGAATCCACTCTTTTAATTTAGTAAGGAAAACTTTTAAGGGTTTAATACTAGAAAAATAATGAAATCTAAAGATGCTTATATGCCTAGAGCATGGATAGGTGCTATGGCTGAATGTAGTTTAGATGCTTATTAAATGAAGAATGAAGATGATGCAGTTTTGGCTAATTAATTATCAATACCTTAAAATTTGGTTTCTTAATTTAAAGCCTATGTAAATATGTTACCTGATTTGGAAATTAATTATACAGTTAAACCAATTTCTTAAACTATTTTATAATTGGTTGTGTTTATTACACCTTAATTTACATTCAGTAGTAAATGGCATTTAAAGAATGAGCCATTTTGGATATTTGTAGATGACTCTGAAGAACTATTACATTCTGAAGAATTTTTGATGGATATGGATACAATTATAAAACGAAATACTATGTAAATATCTTTTTATGTACCATTTAATTCAAAAGGTAAGAAATACCATTTGACAATTTAAAGTGATAGATGGATTATGTTGGATGGAGATTAAACTACAGTTTAGATAGATCTATCAAATGTCTTAATGGAAGGTGATTAAATAGATTTTACAGAATTATTAGATTTACAACCATTGCCAATTAGTGCATTAAATAATAGTGAATTTGAACAATTATACTAGTAGTATAAATACTTTAATCCTATATAAACATAAGTTTTCTTTGGACTCTATAATACAGATGATAATATATTAATTGGAGCACCTACTGGTTCTGGTAAAACAATAATGGCTGAATTCGCAATGTTAAGAGTTTTCAAATAATCACCATAATTTAAAGTTGTTTATATAGCACCATTAAAAGCAATTGCAAAAGAGAGATTATTAGATTGGACTAAGAGATTGAAGGATATCAATAAAAATGTGCTTGAATTAACAGGAGATCATACTCCAGATTTACAAGCACTTTTAAAGGCTCATGTTTTAATTACAACACCAGAAAAATGGGATGGTATTAGTAGAAGTTGGAATAATAGAGAATATGTAAGATAAACATGTCTATTAATTTTTGATGAAATTCATCTTCTTGGATAAGAGAGAGGTTAAGTCTTAGAAGTTATAGTTAGTAGAATGAATTCATTAAGTTATGACACTAATAAAAAAACTAGAATGATTGGATTATCAACAGCTATGGCAAATGGATTAGATGTGAGTAATTGGTTTGGAGTAAAGAAGGGTAGATTTTATAATTTTAAACCTTCTTGTAGACCTGTTCCTGTAACTATTCATTTTAATGGATTTCCAGAAAGAGCCTATTGTCCAAGAATGGCTACTATGAATAAACCAGCTTATTAAGATATTAAAAGATATAGTGATGGAAAACCAACTATTATTTTTGTATCCTCTCGTAGACAAACTCGTTTAACAGCTTTAGACATTATAGCTTTAGCAATGTAAGAAGGAAATGAAAAATAATTTATCTAAACAACTGAATAGGAATTAGCTTAATGGTGTGTTAAAGTTGATGACACATAATTAAAATCAGTTCTACAATATGGTATTGGAATTCATCATTCAGGATTAGATAAAAATGATAGAAATATAATTGAAAATCTATTTGTATAAGGAAAAATTCAATTATTAATAGCTACATCTACATTGGCATGGGGAGTTAACTTTCCTGCCAGATTGGTTATAGTTAAAGGTACTGAATTTTTTGATCCAAAATTAAAGAAATATGTAGATTTTCCAGTTACTGATCTATTATAAATGATAGGTAGAGCTGGTAGACCTTAATATGATACTGTAGCTACTGCCTGTGTATATGTAGAATAAAGTAAAAAGAATTTCTATCGTAAATATCTAAACTCTCCTTTCCCTATTGAATCAAGTTTACTTTAAGGTATATCTGATCATATTAATGCTGAAATCTCTTCGGGAGTAGTTAAAAATAACTAAACATTTATTGATTGGATTACTTGGACCTATTTCTTCAGAAGATTAGTTAAAAATCCTACATTCTATGATTGTCCTAGTACAAATACTAAAGAAATATAATAATATTTGAATAACTTAATTGCTTATACTATTAGTGAATTAGTTTCATCAAAATGTATTACTTAAGAAGAAGGATAATATGAATCAACATTTTTGGGTAAACTTGCTGCATTTTATTATCTCAAACACACTACTTTAAAGCATTTAGATGATAGAATTTAGAAAGAGAGCAGATTCGAAGATTTATTATATGCATTAGCATACTGTAGTGAATTCGATGAAGTACCTGTTAGACATAATGAAGAACATTTAAATGAAGCCTTATCAAAATTATGTAAATTAAAATGTGATAAAAACAAAATGAATCATCCTAATGAAAAAGCATATTTATTGATTTAAGCTCATATTTTCAGATTAAAATGTCCTATTAAAGATTTTGAGACAGATCAAAAACTCCTTTTAGATTCATGTATCAGAATCATAAGTTGTATGATTGAAATATCTGCAAATAAAGGATATCTTTAAACTACTTTAAATATTATATATATGTTGTAAACTATTGTTTAAGGTTTTGTTAAAAATGAAGAGTAAATCTTAATGAATTTACCTCATTTGCACAAACTTAAACAAGAGGAATGCATAAATAGAGTAAGAACTATTAAAGAATTACTGTAATTTTATAATGTAATTATATAATTGTAAATTTTAGCTTAGAGAATTTGATATTTTCCTATAAAAAAATGTTCTTCAAAAGGAAAATATTGCTGAAATAATGAAAGCTATAAATGCATTACCTGATATTTAATTAGCATTTACTAAAACTTAAAGCTAATTAAAAGTAAATCTCAAAAACGAAAGCAAACCTGATAACAAGGTTTATATTTAGAAGCTTAGCAAATAAAGAGAAGCTTCTTGGTGGTTAATCCTTGGAGAAGATGATCGAATTGTTTAAATGAAAAAGGTATATTTGAAAAGTACTGCCAGCAAAGATCTTGATGTAGATGATTGGAATAGAAATTACAAATTATATTTGATGTCTGATTCTTATTTGGGATTGGATTAGATAATAGATATTAAATGATAAACTTATCTTTTGTGTTTCATAGATCATTATTATTATAATTCATATAATTATTAGAATAGTTCTAAGAGTATATTCATGCCCAATAATAAACTATAATTAATATTATTCAATGATAAATCATCAGGTTTGTTTGGTCTTTAATATTTTAACTGTTAACTTCTACTCTGTCAATACGTATACAACTCCTCCCCATCCAGATAAGGCATCTCTATCACAACCACTTACTAAACTTTATCCAATAACTTCCTCTAATTCTTCTGGACTCATATCTGGTTTAAAGAATGCTTCACATGCACCATAAATACTAAATATTATTTATAAATTATATACTAATTTCCTCCAGTTCCTCCAACCTAAAAGTCATCCAAATCTGATTTGCATCCTATAGAATCATATGTTGCTAAAATTGGTTTACCATTTTCAAGACCAGCAACTATTGGAGTTACAAAGAATGGTCCAAATCTTAAATTTTAATGAAAGATTCATACCTTCTTTCATATAATGCAGATGCAACTAAATTTGCAAATGTTGTTGGTTTCATTTTTCTATTTTCTTTTAAATTGTATAAGTTGATCTCCTTTTCCATCAATGCATAACTAATTTATATACACTAAATTTACAATGTATGAATATCTGTATTAAGACCTGATAATGCTAATAATATATTGTCTTGAATCTTAAACACTTTTTGATAATTAGTTGTGATTGTAGACATTTATTGACCGAATCTTCTGTCACATGCCATAGCAATACAGTTTTTTCCTTTCATTCCAACTATGGATCCACCATTATATTCAAAAATTCCAGACATTAGGATAATTAATTATATATATTATATAAAATTTAATTTAAAATCCTAATATATATAAAATAATTGAAACTATAATTATTATTATCAATCCAATATTCAAACATTTAGAAGTTTAAAATTAAAAATATATATAACAAAAATTCATCTAATTATTATTATATTTTTTAAATTAGAAAAGATTAAATAAATAAAGCTTTATGTTTTCATTCTGATGAAAGACTTATTTTTAATGATATTAAAATTTGTAAAAAAAATTTTAATAAACTTAAGAAAAAAAAAGAAATATGTTTGCTCGACAAATAGGTGCTAATGATGTTTATACCAATCAAGAATAAATCATTCCTCTTAATATTAGATTGATGAAATAAATAAAAGTCTCGCCTTGTGAAAGAAAAGCAATATTAAACAAATCTAATATTACCTACTTAAATGTAATAAGTCGAAAACAAAATTGCATTCAATAATAAAATAAAGGAATAATTACTATTAATGATGATACAGATTCTATTAATCTTATCATAAATTTAATATCGGAATTCGATCAAAATTTATTTAATAAAATCAATTAAGACCTTCAAGGATTATTTTATTATAATTATATTTTGAAAGCCAGAGTATACAAAAGAGAAGTCTTCTTTGATATTTAGACTATACAATAGGTAAATTAATCAGCAATGATAACATATTAAATGATAAAAGTCCTAACTTGGGCAAGATTACATGATGGATTGAAACAATAGATGTAAGCAAGATTGGAAAATGAAGAAGAACAATAGATACTTATTGAAGTTAGTAATTGGAATGAAGATGTAAAAATCAATAATATTTTATTAAAGATCTTAACATATTTAGGTAAATATCCAAATTCAGGAAAGAGTTTAGATGAAATAATATAGAATTTTAAAGTTTCTAATAATATTGAACTTTAGGACATAAAGTATTTTTTATAATTATAAATAGAAAATCTATTTCATTTTTATAAAAAGAGGGAAAAATAAAAAATGAAAATGAATTATTCATTCTAGTTAACTTTAGATGAATTAAAAAATATATCCATTTTTTTATTTTATTATATATTGTTAAGATATTTAAATTTAATTATTCTAATTATTTTAATAAGATATAAAACAATATTTATAAATAGTGTATATTAAAAAATTATTATAATATAATAAAGAAATAGTTTATTATAATTGCAATAATATAGCAATATTATCAATTTTTTCCATAAGCATTTTCATCCTTTTTCTTTGTCTTTTTTATTTATTTAGCCTCATCTATTAGTTAATTAAAATGATTTTTTTCACTATTTTCATCAATTGTATTCCCATCTGATTCAGATTCATAAAAAGATTACTCAGGACTAGAATCACTTGATTAACCAAATTAACTAAAACTTCTGTTACTTAAATCAGCTTTAGAATCCATAGATTTAGTTCTTTTGAGATTTTCTCTCTATGTTGGTTTTTTGTATTTAACTCTAACATTTTTTTTTAAGTATTCTTCATTTAAAGTATCATTTCTAATTTAAGATCTATTTACTTCTCCAATAATTTATAATATTTCCTATAATATATAATTAATAAATAACTTCTGGTTTAGAAGAATCAATGTCTTCAATTATTATTTTTTGTAAATATTCAAATAATTCTACATCTTTGCCTCTTGGATATAAGATATGTAAATTTGTTCTATCATCTTATTGTGAAAACTTTGATTTTTCCAATTTAGATAACATTTTAATACTCCAAGTATAAAGTTTCTATTTCATGATTTCTGCTTTTTTTGCTTTTTCATCAACATTATAAAATTATTTGTAAAATTCAGAATCTACACCTTTTTTAGAGGGTTTAGCACTCATTTCCATTACTTATACTTCATCCTTTAATGATTGTAATTTATTTCTAAAGTTATATATAAAAATACTTTAAATTTTCGTTTTTCCTTTTCAAATGATCAATCTTTTTTTCACTTTCAGCAATAGTACCTAATAATCAATTTTAAGAATATTACCTAATAATGAACCATAGGTAGATTCTTTAGTTAAAAACTTTTAAACAATATCTTAAGCTTCTTAGATTCCAGTGGCTGTTTTTATTTCTTGAAATGCTCCTTCAACTATTTAAAATTTTTTCATTTCTTTTTCCATTTTATTTTTTAATAGTGAATGTACAACTTTATGAGTCAATAATAATCTTCTCCATTTTTTCTAAAATAAGTTTGATATATAGAATAAACTTCATTTGCATCTTTATCATTGCTTGCATGTTCAGCTATTTCTTTTTATTTCATCATTCTTTCATTTCTTTTTTCTTTAGCAGCCAATTATACTTTTATTTATTAATTATACTAAGCTATTTATCGTTTCCTATTATTTTTTTCAATTTCAATATTCTAATATTTGTTTTATACAAAATACGTTCATCATTTCATCACATAACTTTCTAGTCATTTAATTAAGTTAAATTGACTCCCATTACTTTAAATCAGCTTATTAGGCTTCTGCTTTAATTTTGTGAAGCATATCTACCATTTCATTAACTTTTTTCTTAAAACATAGAACATCATGTTTTAATCTACTTAATACATGATTATAAGATTTTTCACTCATTTAACTTTCTTCAAATCTTTATTTTGCAAGTATATAATCACTTTTTGATGTCTCCAATTCTTTTGTTAACCAAGTTGCATTGTCTATTAGTTCAGCTTCTTCTAAACTTAACTTTTATATTTAATCCTAAATGTAAACATTCATTATTTACTTTGAATTGTTAAATTTCTTTATCAGCTCTTAATGATTATGTATGATATGCATCATATTCTTTTCTTAATTCACCTAATTTTTAATGGACTTCTCGTTCTTCCATCTAAAACAATTAAAACTAGGTTTCCTATACATTTTTACACTATCATTTTATTATGATGGGGATCCATTATAATTATTTAGAGAACCTAAAATAACACTCAAGTCCTATTTTCTGTAATGATCATCATCTTATACTTAATAGCTTTTTATATAGATCTCAAAGCGACAACTTATGAGCTAGCTAATCTTTCTGTTTTGTTCCTTGGGGATGCACTAAATATTTATGAATCCTTTAAGTAAAATTTATGTATACTTCCTTCTATTACATAAGTATTCAAATATAATAAAAATATTAACACATTTTATTTAAGGAAAATTGAACAAATATAAACATTTAACTACCTTAAAAAGAGAATAAATATTAAAAATAACAGATTTATAATTTCTCATTTTTCGGTTGATTAAAATAACAATAAATATTTTAGTGAATATAAACACAATTATTTTATTTTAATATATACATCTATACTCATATCTAAATATTTGATATTATGTAAAATAAATTATCATTCCCAACTTCTATAATATAAATTATATAATTTAATGATAATTTTAACTGATTAATGCTTTATTAAGATTCTAGAAGAGTGATTTATCAAAATTATTAAGACCAATTAAAAATGAATAGACCAAAATCCTTTTCAAATAATGCAATATCATTTAATATGCAAAACTAATAACAGAAATTTAAAACAGATATTGCTGTCAATTATCAAACATCAATTAGTGAGCTTAGGCCAGTTAGTTAGAATTAAAGAAATAATTCTCTCAATTAAGAAAGAGAAAATAATCCAAAAATACTTAATCAAAAATAACAACCCTATGATTATCAAAATTTTCATTCAATAAAACACCCAAATGAAAAATTAAAGGAAAGATAAAAAAATACAATTTAAGCTAATAATCAAATAGTTTAAACAAAGTCTTAAGAAAAATAATCAAAAATTACTAATAATTCCTAAACAAGATAAATAAAATAAAATGATAAGGATTTGTAAGATATATTTAGATTGAATAAAACTGAGACCATTAAACATAATAAAAATGATAATAATAAAATTAATACATCTGATGTAAGATAGAGAATGAAGAATTACCCTTAAAAATCATCAAGTCCTCAAGTAAAAACACATACTAGACCTAGATCATCTATGGATGATAAAAGTGTGACAATCATGTCATTATAGTTAAAGGATATGAAAGAAAATATATAATCTAAGGATATATAAAAGATCTGTTATGATATTGGTTATCATATGGTAAAATTTGATAGAGATTATGATAAAATAAACAATAAATTTAATGGTTAAGGATAGTTATAAATAAGAGGGACTAGCAATGATAATAAATTTTAGAATTTATAAACAAATTTAAATAAAAAAGGAATAAACTTAGGGGATTAAAATTTAAATCTAAAAGATATTATTTCAAATAAATATTTACTAAAAAAATAGGAGCACTCTTTAATTGAGACTTAAGCAAATTTAAATTAAGATGAAAAATTGTTTAATAATTTTTTAAAATTTTAGAAAAGGTAGAGAGGATAATTTATTTGATCATTACTTATTTATATAAAATATCTTCAATATATATTACATTCTAATTGTTTGACTAATAACATTAATGATGGGCTTAAGGTGAAAATTGAATTTGTATGGATTTATGTCTAATGCTGTTTTGATTATTTTCTATTACATAGGGTAGTTAAAGATTTTTGGTAAGAATATTAAATTTATCAAATATGCAATTTTTTCATTTATAGAGAACAGGAAAGTTCAAAGAATTGATTGAGAAGTAAAAATGTGAAATTTAACAAACATAAAAGTTGCATCATTAAAAGTTTGATATATTGGAACAATTAAAAGCATTTAAAAACAATGATTCAAAAGATTAGTAACAAATAACTCCTATAATTTAGATAGAATAAATAGATTAAGATTAAGTAATTAGATTTACCAAAGTTAATGAAAAGAATATATTCAGAAAAAAATCTCAAAGTTAACAGTTAATTATAGGGAAAACAAAGTGAGAAGACTGAAGCTAGCTTAAGTAAATCTAAGTTCCATTCAACGAGGCTTAAGACTAATGATGAAATTCCATTTGTCAAGCCTAAATTGGTTAATGTAGCTTCAACAGATAGGATTTCAACAGAATGCAAAGAAAGAAAAGATTATCTGAATTATACTTTCGGAACATAATTTAGACTTCGCACAACAAATATATCTCATTCAAATTGTAAAAGCATGATGAATTAAAAAAGATCCACATCTCAAACAAGTAGAATAATGACAACTTCATAATAAAGAGTGATTAACAAAATTTTTTAATGAAAAAAACTAATTTATTTATTTTATAATTTATTATGAATTAATAAAGTTTCGTGTAAGTAAATTAAGAACATGATTAAATAAAAAAAAGAGTCAACTCGCTTAAATTTTAATTAAAGGATATAGATTAAAAGAACTTCATACTCTAAAATAAATTAAAAGATTTGAAACAATTATCACCAAATGCTAGAAAATCACCAATTGCTTAATTATAAGAATAATTGGGATTAGATAGAAAATAAATAAGGGAATAATTTAAACCAATAGTTGAGAAAGAAGGAATTTATGTAAGAAATGAAAGACTAAAAACAGAATCATAATTATAAAACTAAAGAAATATAGAAATTTAACAGAAAAAAAAAAGAGTTAAATAAATTGAAGATTAAGATTCAGAAATATTAAAAAGGAAAGCTGAATATTATGAAAAAAAGATAAATGAAGTAAGATAACGATAATTATAAGAAATGGAAATGAATAAATTAATAGTTAATAAGAAAATATTTGATATCAATAATTTAAAGAAATAAGAATAATAATTATTAGGAGAAATCTCTTTGTATTATATAGAGCTTAATTTAGGGCAAAATAGAAGGAATAATAGTTGAATAACAGATTCTGTAATGTTGTTCTTTCTACTGATAATAGCATTATGTTACCAACAATCTAAAAGACAAATAGTAGAATGAGTTAAAAATCTAATTATAAATAAAGACTTGTGTTAGGAAGTCATTCTGTTTAAAGATCTGATAAATTTTTAGATAGATTATAGAGAAGTGATACAAAAAATAATGATAATTCTTTTATAGATTATGATGAGAATAGGAGATTAAGAATTGAATAAAGAAAGAGTTCATAATCAATAGATTAATTAAATATTGGTTGTTAGACAAGTTTTATAATGACTGATGATAAAAAATAAGAAAGTGTTCAATATTCAGAAAACTTTGATTCATATTGCAGTAATTATTAGGAAGAATCTTCTGATAATCTATAAAAAAATAAATCGAAATAAAAAAGTAAAAAATGAACTTATTATTATTATTATTATTATTATTATTATTATTATTATTATTATTATTATTATTATTATTATTATTATTATTATTATTATTATTATTATTATTATTATTATTATTATTATTATTATTATTATTATTATTATTATTATTATTATTATTATTATTATTATTATTATTATTATTATTATTATTATTATTATTATTATTATTATTATTATTATTATTATTATTATTATTATTATTATTATTATTATTATTATTATTATTATTATTATTATTATTATTATTATTATTATTATTATTATTATTATTATTATTATTATTATTATTATTATTATTATTATTATTATTATTATTATTATTATTATTATTATTATTATTATTATTATTATTATTATTATTATTATTATTATTATTATTATTATTATTATTATTATTATTATTATTATTATTATTATTATTATTATTATTATTATTATTATTATTATTATTATTATTATTATTATTATTATTATTATTATTATTATTATTATTATTATTATTATTATTATTATTATTATTATTATTATTATTATTATTATTATTATTATTATTATTATTATTATTATTATTATTATTATTATTATTATTATTATTATTATTATTATTATTATTATTATTATTAAACTATTATATATCTATACATATTCATTTTTATTTTAATATTTATAAAATATTCATCTAAACTCTAAAATTACATAAAGTATATATATTTTTTATCTGATATCAAATATTATATGATATTAATCACATTTGTTAATTTCTTTATTGTTATTATCATATTGATTCAGAATTTGAAAAAAAAATTAAATTAATTAAAAGGATTCAATGGGCAAACAATATGCTAGAGAACCAGCAGTTGCTAAAAAATCAGCCAAAGCTAAAGCAAGTGATTTGAGAACACATTTTAAGAATACCTATGAAGTAGCTAGAGCACTTAAAGGTTAAACTGTTGCTTAAGCACTCAAATATTTACAAGATGTCTTATAGCATAAGAGATGTGTTCCATTCACTAGATTTAATGGAGGTGTTGGCAGAACAAGCTAAGCCAAAGAATTCGGCAGATCTTAAGGTAAATTAATGAAATAATAATTATTATAGGTAGATGGCCAGAAAAGAGTGTAAGAATAGTATTGTCACTTTTATAAAATTTGGCAGCTAATGCTTAAGTCAAGAATTTGAGCAATGAAAAGCTTATCATCAATCATGTTTAAGTTAACAGAGCTTAAAAAGGTAGACGTAGAACATACAGAGCTCACGGAAGAATTAATCGTAAATAAAATTATTAAATAATATAGCATTCCTTTCATCTAATGCACATGTTGAAATATGGGCTGCTGAAAAAGATGAGAATGTGAAGAAAGAAGCAAATAATAAGGTTGTTGCTCGTTAATCAAGAAAATAAGTAGCTAAGAATAGATTGGCAATTGGTGCATGAGAATACATTAATATTAGTATAATATCTAAAGTTAATATGTTTTTATTCAATATTCTTGTAATTTATGATTGTATTGTTCTTTAAATAGTATGTTTATATGGTCATCATAATAAATAAAAATATATTTAAATTATTAAGGAATTATTAATCATATTTTTAATATTTTATGTATTCAATAAAATGCCTTGATTAATTAATAAATTTTTTCATTAGAGATTATTGATCTTAATAATTAATTTAGGATTGAGAAATATATTGAATATATTAGAAAGTAATTAGATAAATAGGCTAAAGAGAAGTTTAATACTTTAATAATTCTATAGAGCTATTACTCGTATAACTCAACTCTTTTATTCAGAATCTAGGGCAGGGAAATCATGAGCATTCAATGTGTTTGGCTTAATGTTTTATTTTGGAGTCTTTTATAAAACTGCTTTAGGAATCAGTTAATAATGTTATTGTTACTGTACTTATTATTATTATTAATGATGAGCATCACTTTTTTATACATATTACTAAAAATAATAAAATTAAAACAATTACATTATTTCCTCTATCTCTTTATCCACCTCTTCTATCATGATTTCTACCTCCTCTATCTTATCTATCTTATCTATCTCCTTTATCTTTATTCTAATATTTCTCTTCATGTCTATCATCATCTTTATCATTTCTATAATATCCATAATTTCCTCTTCCTCTATTTCCTCTTCCTCTAAATTTTTAATAATGATGATCTTTTTCTAATTCTTCATGTTAATCATTTCTTTTATATTCTTATGGATCATATTCTTATTATTCTATTTTTTTAGTCATCATTTAACATTTTTTTGAATTAATTTATTTATGAAATTCATCCAAATAATCAACATTTTACATAATTACAGAATCAATTTGAAGTTCTGCCTTTTTAGACATTAGAAAATCAAATATTTCAACTGCATAACCTTCAGTTTAAGATGTTAATATTAATTTAACATAATTCTTGTCAGCTTAATAAATTTCTTCCTCATATACTAATTCCTCTTTTACGAATCCAGACTTTTACAATTTGTCTTTAATTATTGAAACTTAAATAACTGGTATTTTTATTTATATCCTCTTTCTCACTGTTTAGAAATAAGGACGTATGATTAACATTTGATGATCGAAATTCCATAATTATTTGTTGTATTTGTTCAAAATCTAAAATTATAAATATATTCTGTACATCAGTTAAGATTAAATGATATTTTTTACGAGTGTTTAATTCGTTTTAGACATATTAGCTTTTTATCGAATTTTCTCTCTATACCACAACATATTGTAGTAAATACCACTCTGGCTTCATTATATCAGTCTCGAATTTTCTGACTAAGTACTCATTATTTAGTAAATTATCATATTTGAACAATTCGATCATCTAATATATTATACATTAATTAAATTTACAGCTTTCTCTAATCTTTAATATTAGTCTTCTGGCTAAGATGATATAACATATATAATACCTTATCAGATAAAATTTCAGTAGCAATCATTAGTATACAACTATTGATGCAAATTATTTATCTATTTAATTTTCATCACAAAATAAGAAACTCAAATCAAATTAACATAGAATAATTAACAGAAAATTACAACATAGTTTCTGAAATACTTATCATTCTCAAGTTTTCTCAAAGAACAACAATATTAAATAAGAAATTGTAATCTATATTTAAACTCAAATTCAAAAAAGTTATCCTTTCAAATTTTAATTGATATAATTAATAAAATTTAGATCAATAATATATAATATTCCTCAAAAAAAGTTAGACTAACAAGCTCGACAATATAAGTTATTCCCATAATATTCTTAGTATTAGCATTCAATATATATCTAATGACCACAAGATAGAGTGATAAGAATTTACTATTAACAAGGACTGCAAGGCTGATAACAATAATTATAGCAAGGATAAGTATGTCCACATGGTCTTTATCTCTAACATTTCTTTTAACACTGCAAATCTGTAGAAGAACATTCAGTCATAATCTAGTGTCCACAAGCCAAAGTTTTTTTAACACTAATTTAGCAAGGAGAACATTATTAATCACATTTATTAAGACAAGGATTTTAATGACCACATTCTCTTTTTCTTATACATTATTTTCTACAAATATAATTTTTAAAACATTATGTTCTTACTGAATGTCCACAATTGAATTATTTTATAACTGTTTCTTGACATGGTGTACATTATTCAAAACATAACTACTTACATTTTTAGTTATGCCCACATTAGTACTATCTTATGCATTTTTTTTTACATTTGAAGTTTCTTAAGAAATTATTTATATTATTGCATAAAACTTCATATTAATGACCACATTCTAAAGTAATCGAAATCCTCTACTCACATGGAGTGCATTCTTAAGAACATAAATTCTTGCATTAAAAAATATGTCCACATTCTCTTGGTTTTTAACAAGGAGATCTACAATTAAATTCATATTTTTATTCAAAAATTTAAAGATAATCTCTACAACCTTCAGCTAATTTTCTAAATAAATGATTTAAGTAATTTTAACCAATTCTAGATTTAAGAAAATAAGGAGTTATATTTTTAATTAAAATTAAAAAAATTTGAATTTCAAAGCAATTTTTATAAATATAATGCTATCCGCAATAAAGTTGGATAGGAACCTATTAATAACAAGGAGAGCATCGTTCATAACACAAACTTTAACATTTATGCCCACAATTGTTAATTTTTATGCATTTTTCTTTACAAGGAGAGCATTGTTCATAACACAAATTTTAACACTTATGCCCACAATTGTTAATTTTTATGCATTTTTCTTCACAAGGTTAACAAATCTCCCAGCATAACCTTTTACAATTATGACCACAATTTACAACTTTTTCACATTGATATTGACATTTAAGCGAAATATTTTTCCTTTAAAAACACTTGTAATTAACTATGTGTTAACATTCATTAAATGTTAATTTTATATCCTCTTAACAAACTACTTCTGCAGGATTCTTACCACAAGCTATAAAAGCCATATGGTTACAATCAAGTAATATTTCAAGCTGTTTAGTGCAGATACATTGATCTCTACACTTTTATTCACAAGTATGACCGCATTTTAGTGTTTATTGACATTATTCTGGACATTAATCTCTAGAATGATTTCCTAAATGGCATTAATTTTGGCATATGTGATTACATCCTTCAAATTTAAATTGCAAATCTTATCACAACATCCTGCTTCAAATTTAGACCAGTCATTTGGTTATTTAACATTTCTTAATGTAGAATGAGTCAAACATTTTAAAGTTATAGAATCTTTTAAACATTGCTTAGTTCCTGCCAAAACAAGTATTTTTTACCACAAAGAAACATTACTTGAGACGGCTTTAATGAAATCAAAGTTACCAAATACATAAAGACCTATTTTTGCTCTTGATAAAGCAACATTAATTCTTTTCTCATCTCCTAAAAATCCAAGTTGATTTTAATTATTTTAATTATTTCTAACTAATGAAATAATCACAATATCATTTTCTTCCCCTTAATAATTATCAACAGTCTATACAATCACTTGGTTTAATGATTATTTTATAAAATATTTCTACAAAATGTTAACTTGCCTTGAATATAATGATAGAACACTAATTTATTACTAATCATATCCAACTTTTACCAGGTATTAAACCATTTACAATATCATTTTAGCCTCTTAAATATTTTCTTTTGATTTCTTATCTTCACTTTCTAACCAAGAATGATTAAAAAACAATAAATCATGTTCTAAACCTATAATATCTAAATTATTTCTATTTTCTTCAACATAACTATGATCTTAATATTGTTTTCCATAGTTAAGTCTAATAAAATCAGCAAATTTAGTTTTCATTCTTCTTTAAAAAGTTAATTCTACATATGGAATCTTATTTTTATAAAATCTTTCAAATAATGAAATATTTCCTTTATATTTAATTTTTAAATCATAACATTTTAATTAAGGGCCTAATTAATTATGATCTCCTATTAAAATAAGATGTTATAAATTTTTCATCAAAATACATGCAATATGGGATTCTAACACTTCTGCAGCTTCTTCTATTACTAAAACTTTTGAATTTAGTTATTATAATTTTGATAAATGTCTTGCTGCACTAGATACTGTTACTCCAATAATCTTGTATTGATTCAATTTTTTAATTTCTTCATCATCGTAAAGATTTTTTAAAGTTTGGGACATTTCCTTAAATTATTTATATTTATCTTCAAATAATAAACAATCTTTCTTATATTTGAGAAACTTCAAATATTAAATTATTTACTATATATCATAATAATTAAGTTCCCAAGGATTAAATGTTTATTTTTATATTTGTTTCTAAATCTCTTCAATTCCATCAAAATTATAATGTAATTGTAATTTATTGTAGTTAATTTTAATTTCATTTTCTTATTGAAAATCAAATTCATCTTCTTAATATTCATCCTCAAAATCTATAAAACTACCTAAACTATCTAAATCTTCATCTTATTCATCACTGTAATAATCATCAACATACGATTCATAAACTTTTTCAAAAATATTATTTGTATGAACTGATTCAGTGATTTTATAATTCTTAAAATATTTATGCATTCCTCTTAGTTCTTCCTAATCATAAAAATTTGAACAGTTTGGACGGTTTCCTTTAATCCAACAATTTAAGATATAATTTACATCAATTTATGATTTATCCAAATTAATATCATCAAGAAAATTATGAATTAATTTATGACTTAATTCAGGCCAGAATTCTTTAAATATCTTTCGGATTGATAAAATAATCATATTAACTTAATCTATTGAAAATTATTCTTATTTAATTTTTGAGTTCTTTGAACTAATTCCAATTAAATTGAATTTCTGATCTATATTAAAAATGGATATCTTTAAGAGCAGCAGATTTAGGAATTGCTCCAAGTTTTGCTATTTCTCTGGATGAAACATATTAAATAAGGCTCTCCAGGAATTTCTCTAAAGCATGATTTGTCGAACAAACTATCAAAATAGGAAAATTATTTTGCATCAAATTTTCACATAAAATTCTAACAGCTAAAACACCACAATAAGTTTTTCCAGTTCCTGGAGGTCCTTTAATTAAAGCTACTTCTTTTGAAAGAATTAATTTTATAGCTTTTAATTATGAATTATCCAAAGTTGATTCCATATCAGGCCAACTTTCGTTTAACACATCAATTTTTTGCCGATAATATCTATTTTATTCTGATAAATCTATTTAATATAATGAATTTTATTGAAGATATTTTGGATGAAATACTTTATTCTAATTTTTGAGAATCAAATTATCAAAGGGTAATTTTTCTATTTTTTTTAATTATTCTAAAAAATAAATACATGGCTCAATTTAAGTTTAATATTCAATTAAAATTGAGTTTTAATTTAATAAAATTAAGAACTCCATTATTTATGATTTTGGATTCAGAAATCGAAATTCTAAATTAATTTTATTTTAATTCTAATAGTTATCTTAATTAGTGCTTCTTTAAGTAATTACACCAAAAAGTAAAGGATGGCATTCAACATTAGTTATACAAATCAGAGAACCTCGACTTAATTTTTTTGATCTATTCCAATCAATAATTTTATATTTTCGTCCATCTAAATCAAATTATTCTAAAGATATTTTCCATAATAAATCATAATTGTTCATTTCAAATGATATTAAATTTATATTTTAATATAAACCTATATTATTAAGGTATTCACTTTTAATGGAGTTATAAAATCCTGTTTCAGATAAATAACTTATTGATTTTCTCATAATATATATATAGTCTTCTCTTAAAATATTAAAGTGTTAATCTAAGTATTTTAATAGAGATTTCTCTTTTGTATCTAATTCTGGAAGTTCTCCAAAGATTTATTTATTTTCACCTTTAAATTATATAAATTCTAAAGATACTGGATACACAGGAGTATTTTTATATTAAAACTTTTGAGCATTTGCTTATATTAACCTAAGAAAATTATTGAATTAATGAATGAATGATTTGAATTCATTTTTAGGGTAATCCATTTTGATAATCCTACATAAAGAGAATATTAAAGAAATATTTGATTACTTTAAGATATTCATATCAATATCTTTCAAGCAATAAAATATTTGAAATAGCTCTTCAATTTTACTCTATAAATTATAAATTGAGTCTGTTTAAGTTATTATTAGATGACATCTCTCTAAAATTTCATTTGAAAAACTCTGAGATTTTATTAATAATTCTAAGTATAGATCGATACTTTGATATTATCTGATGTTTTAGTTTATTTACTTAATTAAATAATAATAAGAATCGAATTATTGATGATTTGGATGAAGATATTCCAATTTCTTTTCTAATTATTTTTCTTAATTTAATCTACAGAGAATTTTGTCTACATTATAATTTTTTATATAGCAATTTCTTATCCAATTAGATAGCTAGAATCAATAGAATTTAAGTTACCCCATCATCTATAAAACACTATTCAAATTCTATGTCAGAATCATAATCCGACATTTTATTAATCAAAATATTTATTATTTAAATAAAATTTAACTCCTTGAAATAATTCTAAATTCTTGCCTGAGATATTCCATTAAATTGGATGAGAATATATTAGGAGTGTGTAAATTTAATAAGTTGAGAAATTCTATAACAATCTCTTATTAAATCTAATTACAAAAATAATTAAATTAAATATAATTATGATTATTAGGAAAGTGTTATAAAAGGGTTTTAGCACACTTTATAATCTGAAATAATTTAGACATTAAGAAATTCCACAAAATGTAAGTGTAGATAGAGAATTTGGTGACACAATTCTATCAAATGGTATTAGAGTATGTACAGAATATTGGCCATCTGAATTAGCACAGTAATTATAATTATTAATATTAAAAAGTATTACTATATATATCAAATGTGGAAGTAGAAATGAAACAGAGGCAACAAGTGGAACAGCACATTTTTTAGAGCATTTACATTTTAAAGTAGTTTATTTATTCAATATATTTTTAGGGAACTGGTAAAAGAAGTAGAGATCGATTGGAATGTGATGTTGAGAATTTTGGTGGATAATTGAATGCATATACTTCAAGAGAAAATACATCATATACAATAAATGCATAAAAAAATAAGGCTGAAAATGCTGTTGAAATTCTTGGAGATATGCTCACAAATTCAATTTATGCAAAATCAGATGTAGAAAGGGAAAGACATACAATTTATAGAGAATTATTTGAAACTAGAAAAATGTAATTTGAAACATTGATTGAAATATCTCATCGTTCAGTAATGATCTAATTTTATATTAAAAGGCTTATAAAAATCATTAAATGTCATTACCAATCTTAGGTAAGATTTAAAATATGTATTCCATTACAAGAGATATGATAGCTGAATATCATTAAAATAATTATTATGGAGAAAATCTAATAGTTTGTGGAGTTGGTAATATTTAATAAGAATAATTATGTGAATATGTCACTAAGCATTTTAGTAAAATTCATAAAAAAAAGTAATAACTTAAAAAAGAAATTCCAGTTGAATTTTAAAGTGAAGTATTTTTAATGTAAAGTGAATTGACAGAAGATATTAATGTAGGTTTATTTTATTAAGGACCAGAATGGACTGATCCTCATTATTATCATTTTTTAATTTTGTAAAGACTTTTAGGAGATAAACCATAAAACTTTTTAGAAGCAGCAATATTTGAGTAATCAAATTTAAATTCATTTTAAAAACAATTATTAAATTATCCAGAAATTACAACTTAAAAGGCAGTATATACTCCATATAAAGATACAGCTTTATTTGGGAATTATTTTTTAGTGAATCCTAATTAATTGGATTCTTGTATTGAAGTTTCAAAGAAAATATTTGAAGAATATGGTAATAAGGTATCATCTGAAGAATTGTAAAGATCAAAACGAAGATTATTTATAGAATTATGTTAACATGAAACAGGAAATGATATCTCATAAGCTATAGCAAATTAAATACTTTATTTTGATAGAAGAGTTTATAGATAAGAAATTGCATAAAATTTAGCAAATGTGACAGAATTAGATATATAAAATTGTGTTAAAAATTGGATATTAGGAAAGTAACCATCATTAACAATATGGGGTAATATTGATCCAGTATTGAAAAAATATAAATTCGATGCAAGTTAAGTTGGAACACACTGATATCTGTACCATAAATTTAAATATATATTTTTTATTTTGATATTTTTTTTAATAATACTAATAATGATTATTATTAAATCATCTTTTTCTTGAACTTCTTTCTCTATCAACTGTTAATGTAACTGGTTTTAATTAAACAGCTCTTGCAATTAATTTCTAATCACTTTATTCTATGATTGTAGGTTTAATTTCAGCTGGTTTTACCTATTTAAATTAAACCTATGGAACAGCTATTTATCTAAATAATGTAAAAATAATAATTACATAGCACAAATTGTGGGTTATATAACTGTAGGTTTTATTTTGGGTTATTCAATTTCTTTCACTATAAGAGGAGGTACTTTGAGTGGACTTAAGGGCATTCCAATCTTTTATTCTAATTAGGATCTTGGATTATATGATTCTTCATCTAAAAATGCTTTGATCTTCTCTTTTGTAGATTTCTTTTTAGCCTTTATAGTAATGCGAATATCATTATATTTTTTGTTTTAGAAATAACTTATTATTATATAAATCCCATTAATACCTTATTATTTTCTTTTTAATATTTCCAGCAATCTCATAATCAGAAGTTTTAAAAATACCATACTTCAATCCTTAATCTATCAAATTAAATTAATTAATACATGTAAATAACTCCTCACTTCTTATGTTTTGTAAGGCTTCCAACTTTTCACTATTAAAATTTGCCGGCAAGAATCTCATTACAACAGTGATCTCATTTTTATTGATCTATTTATCAATATATTTTAGTTAAGCAATCTAGTTAATAATAAGTTAAATGATTACTTCTATATTATCACCAAATGCCTTCCTGTATTTATGAGATGAAGTCACTAAATTGTAATACACATACTAAGCTCCTTTGTCTTCTTTCATACGAATAATTATTGATAGCTTGCCTGCATAGCTGCCAAGCTAAACTCGTTTAAACTATATGAAGTGCTTATCCTTAAACCGCAATTCATAAAATTGTATACTATTCATCAAAAAATTCATTTAAGTCTAGATTGTCTATGGCTTCCTCATCGATATCCTATATTATTATTGTTTTTTATGATTCCCACTCTTGATCTACTCGATTGCTAATTATTATTTTCTTTATTACTTTTTCTAAAAAGGTTTAGGCTCCAATTTAATGACTTGATTGCATTCTGAATCAATTACTATTGAAAGAACATCTTCTACACTTAATCTTTTTTAACGTATCTATTCACACATAACACTAGATTCCCCTGAACTTTCATCATAAGATGAATCAGGTCGTAAATAACGTTGTTTCTCAATATTGTTTAGATTTTTTAATTGTGATCCAACACTCACTAATTTATTTCTATACATTCAAATAATATCAATACGCATTTTCAGATTGAATAGTGAATTCTGTCTAAAGTCCTTAATTTAGAAATTGATTCCTTCGAAAATCAACCAATTATTTTGTAAGTTGATACATTATTATTATTAATATCATAACTATTTTTAATAAACACCTTTCTACTCATTAAAATATTTCATTTATCTTAATTTATACAATCTATAACTTCCATATATGCAATACACTACAATATAATATAAAGTTACCTAAAGCCAAAACTCCAACTAAAAATATTCCAGCTCCAATCCATAACCAATGTTCATTTCTAGAAGTAAGAATTGGATATTAAATTTGGATATCAATCACCTTTTCTTCTTCATCATTTTCTAACTAATAGAACCAATATAATAACCTTTTATTCCTAATTCATATATTCCTGATTTATGATATACTTAAGGATAGCATATTAATTCAGGATTAAATGTTGAATACATAACCTAATACAAATACTATCGACTCAAAACATAATTATTGTTCTTTCCAATAATCAAATCAATTATTTACATAGGATTTGCCATTAAATTATAACTAAAATCAATATTCTTAAGTATTACAGTTCTATTTAATCATCCTCTTATTCAAAAACTCCAAAATTACTAATACTAATAATTATATCTTGCTTATGGAGATTATACAAATTTTTTATATTCCTAATCTCATACACATTTTCTGAACCATCATATTTCATTAATTGATATGAAGTTGCTAAGTAAATATCTTCATTCTCTGTCATTAAAATTGAAGTAGGATTTTCGTACAATCTTTTAAGTATTACTTTCCTATTATAAACAAATTAATCAAGGACAAATTTATAAATATAAATAACACTTGTTTAATTTTAAGATGCTAAAACCACAAGATTTTTGTTATTTATTATTCTAAATACTTCGATTGAAGTAGTATTAATAGAATCTATTATTTCATTAAAATTAAAAAACAATTCTTTTCCTTTTAACACAATGTACTTGTCCTAAAAAATTTAAATATCCTTGATATTGTCAAGTTAATATTCAGTTACGTTCTCTAAGAATTAATTAATTATTACATAAATTCTGTATTACATATAAATGTTGAGTGTCAAAACAATAAATTGCAACACTTTAAGTATTAGATAACATTCTACAGTCTTTGGATTCAAATTTAGGTAAAGTTAATATAATATTCTATTCTTCTTTTAATATTTATCCTTTGGAATTAAGTATTATAATAGTGTCATTTTCTACTTTTGTGAAAGCAATCGCATCAGTTTAAAATTCAGTTTTGCTCAAAATATTTTCCACAATTTTTCCTTATTATGCATAACAAAATTATGTGGCTTCTCTGCTCAATGTAAGTTTAGTTCCTAAATATTTATAAATTCATTACCTGGTGAATAGATTTAAGAATAATATTCAAGGGTTTCTAATTCGAGAGATTAAGTATAAGCGGTCAAAAAAAATGGAATTGCAATTAAAAATTACATAAAATTAATTCATGTTTTTGAGAATTGGAAAGCAATACCAATTTAGTCAAATAGGAAGAATTAAATAAAGAAAAAGAAGCCATATTAAGTACTTTTCTAAACCTATCATTGAGGTATGAATTATGAATTTTTATTTAGGGTCAATATGGTGTAGTTCCAGCTAGAGCAGTACCATCACATATTCAAAGACCAAGTTATATAAGTATGAGAAACAATTAAGTATAATAGGTGAGACAAAGCCTATCTATGGGATATATGAAGGAGCACCTGTAGTTCATAATTAAGATATGATCCAAAGTAAAAAAGTATGATTTAAAAATAGAATTAAGAAAAGCAGCTTAAATAGCAGCATAAACTGCTTATGTGGCTCAAAAATCAGTCAAATTAGGAATGACAACAGATGATTTGGATAAGATAGTTCATGAATTCATAATTTCACAAAATGCATATCCTTCTCCAATAGGATTTATGGGATTTCCTAAGAGTGTTTGTACATCTGTGAATGAAGTGTGTTGTCACGGAATACCTAATCTTAGACCTTTAAATGGTGGAGATTCCTTAAATATCGATGTGACTATATTTTATGATGGAGTACATGGAGATACAAGTGTTATGGCATAGGTTCCTGAAATGAATCCAGAAATTACTAAATTAATAGATACAACTCAAAAAGTTATAAATTATTTCCACAAATAGAATAGGCTCTTTATGAAGCGATTAAAATATGTAAGCCAGGATAGAAATTCAGTAAAATTGGAGATATCATTGAAGAAGTTGCTGGTGATGAAGGATTTACTGTTTGTGAATTATTTACAGGACATGGGATAGGTGAATTGATGCATATGCCTCCAACAATAATTCACAATTGTAATTAATATTTAATATATATATATAGTAAATGATTATCCAGGTGTAATGGTTCCAGGAAATGTATTTACAATAGAACCTATTCTTTTGATGCGTCATGATTAATATTTAATGTGGAAAGATAATTTTACTGTTGTTTCTCCAGATAATCCTAGTGGTATTGTTAACTATTTATAATGTTAGCTCAATGGGAACATATGATTTTAATAACTGAAAATGGATATGAAGTTTTGACAAAGAGAGAGGATGAGACTGGTATATGACTTATATTTTAATAATTATTTTAATGAAAGTGTCCCTATAAGATTTTGGCTTTCATTAACCCAATGCTCCTGAAGTTAATACACCTAGATCTTTAGAGGCTTGCAGAAGAGAAGGAATTAGTCCTAGTGAAATAGTTAAAGTTTCATTTGAAGAATATCAAAAAAAATATAGACTATCTAATTTGGATGCTAAAGGAATAGAGACATATTATAAACATTTTGAAGAGAAGAGGGAAGAAAAATATAGAGATCTTATTAAATAAAGACATATAGTTTTGGAAGATGAAAAGACAGGTAAAATAGTGTAACAATTATATTTAGGATTGTGGAGTCCTGATGGATTAGGTAAAAGTAAAATGATATCTAAATATTCCTAATAAGATGCTTCATCTTTAATTGAGAAAGAGAAGTAATAAATTGAAAAGATTAAGAAGAAATAACAAAAAGAGATTGAAAATATGCTAGAGTTCGAATTAAAATTATAAGAGATTAAGGAATAAAATGAAAAGAAGTTGTAAGATGAGAAGATTAAGTAGAAATAGAGAGAATTAGAATTGGAAAGGAAAAGAGCCTAATAGGAAGAAATCAAGAGATAGAAGGAGTTGCAGAAGTAATAAAAAAAGGAACAAGAAGAATTGGCATTGAAGGAAAGAATGAAATTGCTTGAATCTAAAGAATAAGAACGTATAAAATAAGAGGAATTAAAATAAAGATTAAGAGAAGAAGAAAACAAAAAGAAAGAGGAGGAAAAGAAGGCATAATAAGAAAAATTAAGGAAATTAAATGAGGAAAATATTAGGTTATAATTGGAAGCATTAGAAAAAAGAAAAAAAGAAATGGATGAGAAGGCTGAATAAAGGAAAAAAATGATGGAAGAACAAAAAGAAAAGAAAAAATAAGAAGCAGAAAAGGCAAGAATAGAAAATGAAGAAAGAATTAAATAAGCAAAAGAAAGAAATGAATAAGAAGTTCTAAGAGTTAAAGAAGATGTTGAAAAAAAATTATAAATTAGTGAATAAAAAAGATTATAATTTGAAGAAGAAAAAAGAAAAAAATTAGAATAATAAAAAATAGAAGCTGAATAACATGCAGAAATGATAAGAAAAGTTATTGAATAAAATGAATAAATGGAATTAGAGAAAAAAAAAGAGTATTTAAAAAAAATAGATGAAGCTGAAGAGAGAAGAAAGTAATTAGAAAAAGAATAAGAAAAAGAAAAAGAAAAAAAGAGATAAGAAGAACATGAAAAAGAATAATAAAGACATCAAGTATTATTATAAAATGAGTAAAGATAAAAAGATAGAATTGAAGAATTTTTGAAAAAGTTTTAAGAAAAAGATGATAATTTATAAAAAATATAATTTGAAAGATCTATTTAAATTACTGATAAAAGAAATTTAGATACATTAAAAAGAATTGATAAAAGAGATAATGTTGAAAGAATTATGAAAAAATAAGAATATGATAGAATGAAATTATAAGAAAAATTAAATGAAAAGATGGAAAGAGCTGATAAAATTTAAGAAGATTTAGAATAATTATTAATATAAAGATAAAATATGAGAAGAGAAATTGATAAACAAAAAAGAGATCTTTTATTAAAATTAGAGAAAATTAGAGAAGGAAAGATCCCTCCTTCTGAAATCTAAAAGTAATTAGGTATTACAACAACTGATTTAAAATCATCAACATAAGAAGAATAAAATTTTGCTAGAAAATCCTAATCTTAATCAATTAATAAAAATAATAATAAAAAATTAATGACTATAACTAAACCTTTTAGTACTGTTAGATCAACAAAAGCTTAAGATAAACTCCCTGAAATTAATTCATCATCCCCATAATTATAAGAAACATTGAATAATTAAACAAAACCTTTAGAATAAACATAATTACAATAATAATAACCAGAATAACAATAATGTAATAATATATTATTATAGTTAAGAATAAAAAAAATCTCCAAAAAGAATTAAAAAGTAAGAAATAGTCTAATCAAAACCAGCTGAGCCACCAAGTCCAGAAGTGTTATTTGAGTTAAATTAAATAATTTAAAGATAAAACTAGGAGATAATGAGAGTCTTTATGGAAGAATAAGCAAATGAAAATAGAAGAGATGATAAATTGAGAAATTGTAAATCTGAAAATAGAGCAAAATTAGAAAAACTTTAAAGTTTAGAAAGATAGAAAGCTTAATAAAGAATTCAAAAGCTTTAAGAATAGCACTAATACGAATAATAATAATTTAAATTAGCTCACAATCTAATAGATTGATTTTATTTAATATTTTAGTGGGGAAAATTAATAAATTACTTTTTTTTAATTAATATTTAAACATTCAATATTTAAAAACTTAAATATTATTCATTCATCATAGCACTAATTTTTTTTCGAAATTAATTTTTCCTAAAACTCGTCTAAAATGAAAATTTTAAATAATTCTTATTAAAATCTTAAAATTAAGTAATTTGTACTTTGATTTCCAAAGATGGCTATTTAATAATATCTAAGATTGATACAATTCTATGTCAATACTATTTAATAATATATTTTTTGTTACAATTAAATAATATTAATTGATAAATTATGGATATCTTAAATAGATTAGAATTAGTTTCATTTCAGAATATAAAAATTATTTGGAATTAAGGCATTCTAATTATAATTTTTATTGTTTTCTTTTAAAAAATATCTAAATCAAAAGTTTGAAACTGCTTTTCTTTGATATGGATTGATATTTTTGGTAATAAAAAGTGGTTTTTACATTTTATTAATTCAACTTACATTATTTCTTTATCCTTTTTATAAAAATTAAATTAACAATAAATCAGATGAGTTTGTGATATTAATTTAATTAAATGGGTAGTGCTTGTTAAAGTTTATAGATTGCATCTAAACAAAAGTAAAATAATTGTGGTGCAGAAAGTGAGTGCAATTCAATCAAAAGGGCAATTTTTGAGCATCCAAGATAAATTCTAGATTCTGTGAGTTCAATTTCCTCATATTCTGATCAATATTCTTCTCGCCCTTTGCAAACTGTTGGTTAAATTAAAACATAAGATTGGATTTACTTAAATAAGAGTGATAATAATAACTAAACGACAGGAAGAGTTAATAGGAGTTTAAATGAAAATAGCTTAAGTCCACTTAAGAAGGAATATCAAAATAATTTTTCTGATTTGTCTGTAGAACTGATTGCTGAGGATTAGGTATAATTGATAATCCCGACCAAATTTAAAAGGTCTTTGATAAGAAGAAGAGTAACTTCTAAGGTAGATTTATTGAATAAGGTGAAATAAATGAAATATCAAGAAAAATTTAAAAGAAGAAAAACTTGAAGATTATTTTTTGCATTTTTTAATAATTCAATCTCTCTTAATAAAATGATGTGTTATTTATTACTACACTTTTTTTTATCTGATCAATCCAAAGTACAATTCTGGATAAATAATTAAACCAAATCCAAAGAAACTTATAAAACTTGTTTAAAGGGGTCTTGATTTAATTCCTTTTACTGCTACACCAATAGCTAAATTAACAACTGAAAGTCCAACTAAAACATTAAATCTTGACTCAGGCTTTAAGTTAGTCACAATATCTGTCTTAAGTCCTTAGCTGGATCAATAAAATTACTTGTTAATTCCTCTCCAAATTCATTTAGTGGTTGATTAATTAAGTCAAAATAACCCATAATTAATTATAATAATGAAATATTTATTATTCAAAATGAGTCTATGATTATTTATTTGAGTTAAATTCTTATAAAAAATGTATGAAAAGTATTAAAGAATATTTTTTTTTATTTTTTTTTTTTGAATTCCAAGTACTTGTATATTAATCATAAATTTTTAATAAAAACAATCAGAATTTTAATCAAAAAAAAAGTTAATTATTAATTTATTAACGGAAAAATATGAATAAAACAAGATCAAGTTTTGCTACTTTAAGAACAAAAACACAAATTAATTTAGCTAGCTAAGGAAGCCTTCCTTGTCCATCACATCCTTCTTTTAACATCTCTCATGTTTGTTTATGTACAACTTGTACACAATCAATATCATTTTGTTCTGAATGTCTTTTTGAAACTTAGCATTAACAACATTTGGCTAAACATAAAGAACATATAATTGGATGGAATGATTTAATGATTCTTTGTAGAAGGTAAAGTGTATCAGGTAGATTGGGAGACGAACCTTAAAAAGAATTGAATTAAATAGTACTTTCTACCTAAGCTCATCAAGCTAGCTTTAAAACATATATTAAGAATTAGGAATAATTGATTAATAATGATTTTGATGGATTAATAACTAAATTTACAGAAATGATTAATAAAGTTAAAGCTGAATTTATGGCTCCATATAAAAATTATTTATAAGATCTTCTGGATATGGGAACTATATTAGAAAAATTAGTATCTGATTATTATTTAGAGAAAAATAAGGATTACAATAATGATTATGATAATTTCTTAAGTGAAGTAAGTAAATTATAAGATCAGTAAACTTCTAATAAGAAAAGTGATTAAAATTAATTTAATCTTAGAAAATTAATGTAGAATATAATACCATTAGTTAGTAAGGCAAATGGTCAGTTTTAAAGAGCATTATAATAATAAAATTTAAATGTTGAAGAAGGAGAGTCTCAAAAATCTGGATATTCATTATTCAGTAATATGGCATTGAAATAGAGTGATAATTAAGTATTAAATGATTTAGTTAATGATTATAAAGTATTGCTTAACAGTAGACCATGTTATAAAAATTAAGGATTGGCGTAATAAACATATAATGGAATGTAAGAATTAATAGAAAAATGTTATCACTCTTTGACATAAGTAGATTTTATGTCTCCAGGCTACAAAAGTTAAATGATTAAGATGAACAAAGAAAATATAAGTTTAAAGCAATAATTAGCATCTCCTAAAGGTACAAAATACTTGGAAACTATAATTAAAGAATAAAGCACTAAAACATTAAAATAGTTAACTAAATTAGAAGAAGATGAAGATGAAATAAAAGAAATGTAATTAAAACATAGATTGAGATAAACTACTTAATTAATCATATCTGATCCAATAACATCAATATCATTTGTAAAAACAATCAAGACTACTCATAAATAAGGTATTAATTGTATGGTACAATTTGATGATGATTTTATTGCTACAGGTTCAAATGATAGAACAGTCAAAATATATAGATACAGGGTTTATGAATTATTTAAGGAAATATAATTTAAGAGTGATGTCACATCATTGGCTGTTTAGATAAGAAAGGATGGTTCTTCTTTTTTGATTGTTGGATTATTCAAAGATATTTGTATTTTGAATTAAGGATTCGAAGTACTTAAGTAAATTGATAGAATTCATAATGGTTAAATCAATTCTATTGTATGTTTAGAAGATGCCACTACTATATTTAGTTGTGCATAAGGTGATAATAGATTATTATAATGGAATACTTAGAATGATTAATAAAAAAAATACTTTGAACATAGAGATTCTATTACATGTATGACATTACTTGGAGATTAATATATTGCATCTGGTGGAAAGGATAGAAACATTAAAGTATATAGATAAACATTAACAAATAATGTTTTTGAAAAATTATAATTGTCTATGAGTTTGTCTGATGCTCATCCAACAGAGGTTACTAGTTTAGCTTATGGTGGAGGAAGTATTCTTTATAGTAGTAGTGCTTCAGGTGAACTTAAGGTTTGGGATTTTATGGATGGAACATTAATAAAACAAGTTAAAAATTATGCTGGATGGTGTTTTAGAATAATAAACTTTTAAATAGAAGAGGAATAGACTCCATAATAGAAGACATAGCTATAAACAACAATTCCATTATGTGGATCGCCAAGAAGAAAGAAGTAACCATAAAATGAATATGAATGCATAAAGAATTGCTTCATTGGTACTGTAAGTTTTGATGGTACTTTTAAAGTATTTAATGGCAAAACTCTATTGAATGATAAGTATTTAATTATAATTATGTAATTAGTCCATAACCTATGATCACAACCCAACTGAAATCTTTACACGATTGTCATCCATTTGGAGGAGTATTGGCTATTAGAGATAGTATCACTGATAAGATTGATATATTGAGTAGTGGAAATAAGAATGATTGCAATATCTAGTTGTATAGTTTAGCATAATCATGAGTCATTTTATATTATATACTAAGTTTACACAATTTTAATTAAATTTTTATGAGAAAGATATTATCCTCAGCAATTGCAATAAGTCTTAGACGTACTCCATTAGTAGTTCCAAAACGTACCTAACGTTTAGCTGCTACTTTAATCTCTCTTCCACTAATAAGATATGGTTTTTAAGTATTACATGCAAAATAAACTAGACACTAAATCTTAATGATGCATATGAAGTTTCAATAGAAGATAATTTAAATGAAGGTGAAATGAGAGAAGTATAAGTTGGTCCAAAAAAAGAAGATGCTGTTTTAGTATGCAAAGTTGATGGACAGATCTATTGTGTTTCTAATTCATGTCCACATGTAGGAGCTCCACTTTCGGCTGGTTTCTTAGTTGGTGATAAAGTCAAATGTCCATTTCATAATGCCAGTTTTTCAGTTAAAGATGGTGTTCATGAAGAAGGACCAATGTTTAGAGGATTATAAACATTCCCTGTCAAATAAGAAAATGGATAATTAGTTATAAGAGTAGAAAAATAATTATTAAATGCTCCAAGAACATTAAACATGGTAACAAAAGGTGATGATCCAACACATGTAGTGATTGTTGGTGGAGGGTATAATTATTGATTAAATATATAAGAGTATCTGGTTAGAGTGCAGCTGAGACACTTCGTTAGGCTGGATTTAGAGGAAGAATTACTATTATTACAGCTGAGGATTCATTACCTTATGATAGAACTCCAATGAGCAAGATGACATTTATGGTTAAATAATAGGGTTTGTAAATTAGACCCTAATCATTTTATGAATAGTATGGAATAGATGTAATGACTAATACTACAGTTGACTCTATTGATATTAATAATTAAGATGTTGTTGTTGGATAAGAGAAAATTCATTATGATAAATTATTATTGGCAACAGGTGGTACTGCTCGTAGACCTCAATTAGATGGAGTTAATTTAGGAAATGTACACACTTTAAGATAATTCAATGATTTATAATCAATAAGAGATAAAGCAAAAACAGCAAAAAATATAGTAGTTGTAGGTGCTTCATTTATTGGAATGGAGACAGCTTCAGCTATTAAAAAAGAATTAAAAGATTAAGTCAATATTATAGTTGTAGACAGTACAACAGTTCCATTTGAGAGAGTTCTTGGTAAAGAAGTAGGAGGATCTCTTTAAAAATTACATGAAGCTAATGGAGTTGAATTTGAATTGAATGCAGGAGTCAAAAGAATTGGTGGAGTTGGTTAAGTATAAAGAGTTGATTTATTAAATGGAAAATCATTATAAGCAGATTTAGTTATTTTAGGAACAGGAATTCAACCAAATAATAAACTTGCTAAAGATTAATTAAAAATATCACCAAATGGTGGTATTGAAACAGATGTGTTCTTGAAAGCTGCCAAGAATGTTTATGCATCAGGTGATATATCAAGTTATCCATATTGGGTTACTGGTGAACATGTTAGAATTGAACATTAAAATGAAGCTGTTAGATAAGGGTAAGATATTTGATTAATTTTAGATATGTTGCTGCTTTGAATATTTTAGGTAGACCAACTCCTTTGACAGATGTACCATTCTTTTGGACAAGATAATGGGATAGAACCTTAGCATATAGTGGAGTTGGATAAGGATTTGATGAAGTTATTGTGGATGGAGACTTAAGTCAATAAAAATTTGTTGCTTATTATGCTAGAAAAGGACGTGTTGTAGCTTCTGCTAGTATGAATACTCCTAATGTATGATATTTTTATTAATTTTAAAGGCTTAAATGATTATATCTGAAGCATTAAGATTGAATGTTATGCCAAGTGCTGAGGATTTAAAGGAAAAGAAAGTCAATTTAGATGATATTAAGAAGATTGTCTTAAGTAAAGGATCATCTTGCCATTGTAAACGTGCTGGATAATGCTAATCATAATTATGANATGAATAGTATGGAATAGATGTAATGACTAATACTACAGTTGACTCTATTGATATTAATAATTAAGATGTTGTTGTTGGATAAGAGAAAATTCATTATGATAAATTATTATTGGCAACAGGTGGTACTGCTCGTAGACCTCAATTAGATGGAGTTAATTTAGGAAATGTACACACTTTAAGATAATTCAATGATTTATAATCAATAAGAGATAAAGCAAAAACAGCAAAAAATATAGTAGTTGTAGGTGCTTCATTTATTGGAATGGAGACAGCTTCAGCTATTAAAAAAGAATTAAAAGATTAAGTCAATATAATAGTTGTAGACAGTACAACAGTTCCATTTGAAAGAGTTCTTGGTAAAGAAGTAGGAGGATCTCTATAAAAATTACATGAAGCTAATGGAGTTGAATTTGAATTGAATGCTGGAGTCAAAAGAATTGGTGGAGTTGGTTAAGTATAAAGAGTTGATTTATTAAATGGAAAATCATTATAAGCAGATTTAGTTATTTTAGGAACAGGAATTCAACCAAATAATAAACTTGCTAAAGATTAATTAAAAATATCACCAAATGGTGGTATTGAAACAGATGTGTTCTTGAAAGCTGCCAAGAATGTTTATGCATCAGGTGATATATCAAGTTATCCATATTGGGTTACTGGTGAACATGTTAGAATTGAACATTAAAATGAAGCTGTTAGATAAGGGTAAGATATTTGATTAATTTTAGATATGTTGCTGCTTTGAATATTTTAGGTAGACCAACTCCTTTGACAGATGTACCATTCTTTTGGACAAGATAATGGGATAGAACCTTAGCATATAGTGGAGTTGGATAAGGATTTGATGAAGTTATTGTGGATGGAGACTTAAGTCAATAAAAATTTGTTGCTTATTATGCTAGAAAAGGACGTGTTGTAGCTTCTGCGAGTATGAATACTCCTAATGTATGATATTTTTATTAATTTTAAAGGCTTAAATGATTATATCTGAAGCATTAAGATTGAATGTTATGCCAAGTGCTGAGGATTTAAAGGAAAAGAAAGTCAATTTAGATGATATTAAGAAGATTGTCTTAAGTAAAGGATCATCTTGCCATTGTAAACGTGCTGGATAATGCTAATCATAATTATGAGTATGAGGTTAATAAATAAATCCAAATTAATTAAAATAATAAAACGTGTTAATGAGACACATCATTCTCTTGTTGATCATACAATGCTTTGCTTCTAATATTGATGTTTAGATCTCATACATAGATGCCCCCTTGATCAACATACATTGGTGTAGTGATACAGTCTTAGCACTCACATCTAAAGGATCTGTGTATAGAAGCGATGATCGTGGTAGATAATGGACTAAAATGTCTGAGATATTTCATCGCAAGGCTCTCATATAACTTGAAGATTCGGATGAAAGAGTCGGAATTGTAAATAATTTGGTTCCAAGTCCTGTTGATAAATCCTTAGTGTTATTTACAGGAACAGATCAAATAGCTTGGATTTCCCTTGATTGTGGAAAAACCATAACAGCTGTCAATGCTGGAAAATAGTTGCGAGAATATCAATTTCATCCACTTGAAAAAGATTGGATTATTGCATCAGCATGGAAATAATGTGGATCTGATGAATTACTAGCAGGAACACCTTGTGTTTCTTATAAGGAACTTCTTTTAAGTTAAGACACAGGAATTACATGGCATTAAATAGCAACTTATGTAAATCAATTTACTTGGGGTGTCAAAAATAAAGAAATGGCTAAATATACTCCTAAGGAACGAATTCTAGCATCATTTGAACCATAGGGAAAAGGACATTAATCAATTAGCAGTTGGAATATGGATTATAATCTATATTATAGCGATGATTTTTTCCAAACTCGTACTTTAAGTGTCCCAGCAGGTTCTAGATTTATGCTTACAGAATCCTTCTTATTTGTTGCTAAAGTTACATCTTAAGTAACATAAGAAGTCAGTCTATATGTGAGTGGAACAGAATTAGGTTAATATAAATATAGTATAATTGATGCAGATTCTAAATTATTAGAGCATTCATATAGTATATTAGACACATCAGAAAATTAGGTTTTTATGGTTGTTAATCATCTCAAACCATCTTCTCCATTAGGAGTTATTTATATTAGTGATTCTACTGGTACTAGATATTCTAGATCCTTGGAGAATGTTTCAAGGTTGGAAAACAGTGCTGAATTTTATAGAGTCTAAGGATTGGAAGGCATTTATTTAGCTAATGTTTATGCTGAAGATTAAGCTAAGATATATACAAATTAAGTTTTTGAATCTATGGAAGAAGGCTTCTATGCTTAACAAAATGGATTTAAAGATGAAGATCTAAAGAAATATAAACAAACCAGGATTACTTTCGATAAAGGAGGATAATGGGTCCCTTTGAAGGTATTAATTAAATTTCTATCTTCATTAGCCTCCCACAGTTGATGCCGATGGAAAACCAATCAATTGCAATAAGTGCTAATTGCATTTGCATCTTAGTTAAGCATTTTATTAATTTGCACCTATTTACACTCAAACTAATTCCATTGGTATTATTGTAGCAACAGGTTCTATTGGAAAATATTTAAGTTATAGATAAGATTAAGTTCATACATATTTAAGTAGAGATGGAGGATTGACTTGGATTGAAATAAAAAAAGGATCTTATATTTATGAAATTAGTAATCATGGAGGATTAATTGTTATGGCTAAAGATTAAGAAACAACTAATTAGATTGTATATTCTTGGAATGGTGGTATGGAATGGACTCCATTCAATATATTAGATTAGAGGGCAGAAATCTAAAATATAATTACTGAACCTTAAAATAAAGGAACTAGATTTATAGCTTATGGTGCCATTTAATTAGAATCTAATGGTATAAGAACTGAATAGGGATTATTGGCAACTATAGATTTAGATGAATTACATCAAAGAAATTGTATTGGATAAGAAAAAGCAGGTGAAATTGGAAGTGATTATGAATTATGGACACCTTCTGGTCTAGTTAATCCTGAATGTTTATTTGGCAAAAAGGTTACTTATATGAGAAAACGTAGAGAAGCTGCTTGTTACAATCCTGAATAATTGGAAAGAATTATTAGTGTTACTCCATGTTAATGCTCATAAGAAGATTACGAATGCGATTTAGGATTTGTTATGAATAATTAATAATGTATTCCAATAAATGGTACTTTAAATATTGATCCACCTGCTGACTGTGATGGATATTATACAGTTTCTAGTGGATATAGAAAAATTGCAGGAGATATTTGTGAAGGGGGAGTTGAACATATTTCAATGAGATTCAGTTGTCCTAATAATAAGAATTGGATATATGATTGGTTAGTAATTGGAGGAATTTTATTTGGATTATATTGGGTTTATAATAATCAAGAGAAAGTGAAAGAATATTTTGCTAGAACAGAAATGCGTGAAATACCATAATCTAAATAAGAAGTAATAAATATTATCATTTAAAATTAGATGTTGATCCAATAGATTTAATAAAGATAACCGAAATAATAATAACAATAATAATAATAATAACAATATTAACCAATAGATTTAGAATAGAATGAATAATAAGATTAAAAGTTCGATGAAGATTTGATAGAAAAAGATGATGATATATAAATAGAAGATGAAACAGCTCATGAGTTGATTTGAATATTTGGGTATAAATTAATTTAATGACTATTAATGGATTATTGATACCTAGTAAATTTATTCTAGTTTCTTGCCATTTCATAACATCGCTAATGGCTTATTATGGAGCTGTATCCAACTCCTCATCTATTAGAAAGAAAACATCTTGGCTAATTTTCAAACCAAAACATATGACACCACTTCTGATACATACACTTCAGCATATAATTCTATTGTCTCATGTATCATACTGGGATTGATTGGCCTTGGTATAGAAATGATATTCATAATAACTGGAATTACTATGTTTTATGATACCAGCAATTTTTTAAGTAAAAGTAATTAAACTTCAATAAGTTATATGTTTACATGCAGTTGGCATAATAATTTACAGCGAGTTTATTATAGGAGCATGGCCTTATTATGAATTATGGTATTATTGGGCAGCATTTATGTAAAAATATTCAAAATGGATTTATAGTTTGTTACCAGTTTTATTAGAGATAGTGGCAACCTGTTTTGGGAATATTCTTTACGGAACAGCTTTCAAAAGAAGATTATCAAGAAAAGGGAATTGATCATATATGATTATTAAATATCTATGAAATGGAATCACAATTATATATCTAATAAATATTTAAATGTAAAATCAACAACATCTCATCAGAGAAATTTATCTAAAGGATAAATCAAATTCATTCCTAAGACAATAATGGGTTTAAGTCTTTGATTCATTATTACCATTACAATAAACAACTTTAATTGTTGATACACTTTAGGAAATTGACACACTTAAATTTATAAAAGAATTATTGTCTAAAAATCATGCAATCACAGTGATTTCAGACATAGTTGAAGCTAATTATAATTGGTGTAATTTGGTCAATTAAAACTTTGAAATTATAGTTGCAGATCTACGTACAGAGACTAAATTGAATTCATATTAATATATTGGAATAAAATGGGTATGTATAAATATTATGATTAGTTATTAACAACAAAATCTTAATTGGTGATTATAACAAATGACTTAATATCTGAGCACTTAATTAATTATTTTAATATAGATTATGATAACATTATTGAAATTCCTTACTTACAAACTTAATAAGATGAATTATTTTTAAGTATACCTTACAATTAAAAATTGACATATGTTTTGTAATAGATTAAAAACTCTAATTCAGAGATTGATAGGGATATAGTTGTTTATTGTGAATCATTATATCAAATGGATTAAATATTTTAAGCAATCTATTTTCATAATTAATTATCACAATCAGAAGAATTTGAAGTCCATCAAATAATACCATTCTAATAATATTATGAACAATTTGGTTAACAATTAATGGAAATGGTATATCCATAATAGAAGGGAAAAAGAAAGGTATTTTTGACATTAAATTATTAATAACTAAGAAAATATTTGTAAAATGTTTAATCAAAAATATCATTAATTATACATATGGGTTATTAAACTACAGTCAAAACATTTTTAGAAGAAATAAATAATGCCATTGTTTATAAATAATATAATCTAAGCAGACATGATATCATCATTCGTAACAGAATTAGTTATTATCCTAAAATTATTTATTTATTTGGATTTGATGAATTTAAAGATTTATAAGAACATAAATTAATTTTTGATGAAGAATTCACTTTTAATCCATAAAATACTAAATTTTATGCTTAATAATTCAATATTTAAATTGATTAATTGTAAAATGTAGTTGACTCAGAATATAGTTCATTATAAAACTATATTCCATTAATATATTATGAACCATTATTGGAAGCAGAAAATGAAACTTTTCATTATTATAGTAGTGTTATATCTACACTATTGACAGATGGTGAAATACTATCAGAAGGTAATGTTGAAAGTAAAAAGAATCCATTTAAAAGTTTTTAAATTCATCAATAGAGAGAATCAATAATAAGATCAAATCATTATTGGTCTAAAATGGGAGATATTACTTCATGGATTTAATTAATAAATAAATTTATTATTTTTATTGAAGATATCAATTCTAAAGATGATGAAAAAGAATAAGAGAATTCTAAAAATGAATTAATAAAATGGTGTAGATTATAGAATATCAATATTCCAAAAATTATATTGATTCTAGCTTATAATGAATATATAATTGATTTAACTTAAAAATATGTATTAATGTCTCATTATTTAGGTATCTGAATATTCAGTCATTAATAAATGTTGTTCACTTGATTAATTAAAATTGAATAGAACTGTATCTTTAAAGAAACAATAATCAATGCCAGAACATTCTGAGGACATATAAGCATGTTTATTAAGACTATTTTATAAAGGTTTAAGTATCTTTAGTGGTCATAAGAGTGCTGGTTACTATAATTATGTTACCAACTAGAAATTTAAATTATGCTATAACAATCTAATGGCCATAGTTGGAGACTTTCCTTTAACTTGTATAATTATGGCATTGTTGTAAAAGAATCAATAATATGAAATTAAATATTCTACTAAAATAGATGACATTATGATACCATAATTGGCTCCTAAAGAATTTGTTAAAGAATACAAACTATAATTTATATAGCGATAATCCTTGCATTTGAATGAAATAAACTTTAATGGAATAGGTCAAGTTCTGTTTAATGAATTATGGAAACATTAATCAGGTCCTCAATTATCTTAGGATTGTATCTTACAACCTAATATTGAAATGAATTGTATTACAGTTTTATATGATCCTAATGTGGCTAAAAAGGAAATTATAGAATAGGAATTGAATAGTAAAATTAAAGAATTGTAAAATTTTTATAGACATTAAGTCAAAGAAATACCATATGAGAATGATTCTAAATTTATAATGCAAGCGTATAAATATATAATTAATATAATAGTGGTGGAAGTATGAAGGATTGGATTGAAAAAAGTGCTTATAAGACTTTCTTTATAGAAGGTTTACCTTTAGATATAACATAAGAATTGCTTCAAGAATTCTTGCCTGAAGTGATAATTTCAGAAATGAAATTGTATAAAGAAGGTGATAAAATCACAGCCAGAATATCACTTTAAGATCATGATGATTTACTTTTTTGTTTAGAAAATATTAAAGAATACAAAGATAATTAATTGAAGGTTTATACTCAACAAGATCAATTTGAACATAGTGAAGAAAAACTACTTTTCAATGAACATTATAAAATAATTATCACTTGGAATTTGCATTTAAACAAAGGTACTGCTATAGTTAAATTGAATACACCATATATCTTTAATTCTGAAGACTTTGAAACTATCTAACATCTAACATGCAAAATGAATCTTAAGAGTGTTTATGAGGATGAATAATCAGTTATGTCTGATTTAAAATAACAATACAAAGATATTGATATCAAATCAATTTTGATAGATAAATAATTAAGATATGAAAATAATGGAGATCTCTAATTAGAAATACAAAAACTATTATCAAATATTTCTCAAGATTAATATAAAATTGAATCAATTACTAAATAAAATTGTAAAAGAATTTTGACACTTATAGTTTATGATAGAAATATTATGGAATAATTTATTCTCTTAGATAATCAAATTAAATAATTTAGAGGATTAAAGGTCTAATTAAATGTAAAACCTGTTTATTATCATGACTATGAAGGACCTATTGAAATGAAATAAATAGTAGAGGAAATCTTTGATGAAAAGAACATTAAACTTGGTTAATATACTATTTCAAGTGATGACGAATTTAAAAGAGTGAAAGTTACTATTTAATGTTGGAGTAAATAAGATCATGAATAATTGAATAAAGAAATTTAAGATGCATTCACTCCAAAAATCATTAAATCCTCATAAGATTTTGATATCACAGTTATATTCAGTTCATCTGGTACAAGATTCCTTAAATACTAAGAAGAATCTTTATAAATTCTAATTAGATAAGATTTTATTAATAATCAATTATTTGTTAATAGCTCTTTTATTAAATACAATTAATTAGTTAAAGCTATTAAAGAATTTATTTCAGATTGCTCAAAAAGTATAATATAAATTCCAAAGAATTGTATAAGATTAATAATGGGTAATGATTCTTAAGGACTCAACGAAATAAAGAAGAACTTCGACTTGAAGAATGTTAAATTCAATAGTATTTCAGGTGAATTACAATTATTTGGTGATTAGAAGAATCTAGATGCAGCTATCATATCAATTAGTGAAATTATGTCTTCATAATAATAATAAGATAAACCTATCAATGCATTAACTTGTAATTATTGTTTTGATAATATGAAAAATGGATATATGTTATAAGGTTGTGGACATAAGTTTTGTCTATAATGTATAATGTTTAGCATTCAAAATTCATTAGGAGATATGACTTAATTACCAATTAAATGTCCATAATGTAATCAAGGTATACTTTTAGCTGATTTGTATATTTTAATTGATGAACCAAGTTGGGAAAAATTAATAAAACTATCTATTAACAAATGTAATTAATTTATTATAATATTATTAGATTTATAGGATCATGCAGCATAAATTGCTTTTTGTTTGACTCCAAATTGTCCAATTATTCATTTCTAAAAGATACCAAGATATACATGTAAAAAGTGTTAAAAACAATATTGTAATTCATGCAGAGTATATATATTTATTTATTATTCTATAGACAGCATATCATTTTGGATAAACATGTAGAGAATTCAAAGCTGGTAATGAAGATTCTATTAATATATATATGAAAAAGAATGATGTAAGAAGATGTCCTCATTGCAAAATATTGATATAAAGAATAGATGGTTGTTATAGAGTTACTTGTACAGGATGCAAAAAGAGTATTTGCTGGAAAAATAAAGCAGATGGTAAACCATGTATGGAGATCTTTGAGACATCTTCAGAATGTTATTCACATTTAACTAAAGAACATGGTGGATATTGGTGATATGACCAAAAATATATATATATTTATAGATCAATTTATTTATTTCAAGTTTCATTTTATTTTAGTTTAATAATTAAACTATTTAATTATATGATATATATAAAACACAATTTGTTTTATAATTTAGAATATAATGAATAATTTAATAAATTATTATATTCCTATTGAGATGGATTGAATTCTATAGTTTAATACTTTCTAAAAACAATAATAAATTATATTATTTCATTAAATAAAAGACCAATCAGACATTCTTTAATTAGATTGGGATTAATCAATAAATTTCATCTAAAAATATAATTAAATAATTACATCAATTGTTTCTTTAACCCATTATTTAGTATTATCCTTTTCTATAAAAGGACCATCTTATACTCTGTTGTAGATATCATCCCAATTGATATTTTTAAAGAAAACATGTTTCTTTATTTCCTCTGCATCAGCTTTAGCTCCTAATCTTTAAGATGGATCTCTGACTAATAATGATCTAATTAAATCTTTTGCTTCTTCACTCATAGTTCTTGGAATTCTTAGTACTCCTTTTTTAATATTCTCAAATAACATTTCTCTATCTTAATTATAATATGGTGGCATTCCTACAATCATTTCATAAAGAAGGACTCCTACTAAATACCAATCAATTGTTCTTGAATGGCCCCTTTTCATGAGAACTTCAGGAGCAAGATATGCAATTGAACCACAAAAACTCTTAGTAAGATTATCATAAACCCCTTCTTTTGATAATCCAAAATCTGTTAATTTTGCATGTCCTTTAGTATCCAATACAACATTGTCAGGTTTAAGATCTCTAAAAATGATACAATTTTTATGTAATGTTTCTAAAGCTAAAATCACTTCACATATATAAAATCTAGCCACATCTTCACTAAGTTTAACTTATTTAGTTAATAATTATCCTAAATCACCTCCTGGACAAAAATCTAAAACCATAAATAATTTTGATGAATTTTGAAATGCTGCATGTAATCTAACAATAAATGGATGTTTCATAACACTAAGAACATTCTTTTCTGTTTAAGCATATCTAGTTAAATTTTTAGTAAAAACCCTTTCTTTACAAAGAGTTTTAATAGCAAATTATTCTCCATCTTATTTTCTTGTAGCAAAATATACTTCTCCAAAGCTTCCCTTCCCAAGTAATTTATGAAATACATAACCATCTGGTGAAGAAGCCTATTAATTTATAATTTATATACATTAACATTAATATCTACAAATTAAGGTACAGGTTATGGAATACTTATTTATTTCTATTTCATAGTTTCTTATGATTATTTCAATATTTCCATTTTTGATAACTCATTAACTTTTCCTAATAGTCTTTCAATATGATCAGCCCTAGAGTTTCTTACTATTTATCCACCTATCTATGATCTTGATTGATATCCTTCAGTATTAGGAACATACTTTTAAAGAATCATCCTAACTTCTGATGACATAGTCACATCTAATGGAGTCTTTTAATGAGAATTCTTTAAAGTTGCTAATTTGAATAATGATACTAAATAAATACCATCTGCTCCATTTTTCAATAAACATTCTACAATTTAAGTTTCTCCAAATTCTGAACTTATATGCAAAGGAGTATTTAAATCAGAATCCTAACAATTCAAATCAACTTTATGCTATAAAAGTATTTAGACTATTTCCAGACTTCTTCTTAAACATGCAAGATGTAAAGGAGTACTTTTCATTTAAGTACTTAAATTAGGGTTAGCTTTAGAATCTAGCAATAATTTAACTATTCCTACCCTTCTACTATTGATAGCATGATGTAAGGCTGTCCAATCATCTAATCCTTTACAATCTATATTTAATAATCCTATAAACTCTTAAAATTCTTCTCCAATAAGACTTGTAGTAGTTGATCCATTTGATTATTAAACTTATTTTTTTAAATCAATTTAATCTTTAAGTAATCTAGAAACAATATCTTCATCTCCTTTTTCACATGCATCATATAATTTTTCATTTATTTCTTCCATTTTTGTCCAAAAATTCTTCCATCTATTTTTCTTCGAATGTAAAGGTGTGTATTAATGTTATTCTATTTCTAATTCCCCAAAATTGTTAACACTATAAGTATCTCCAGTATCTAAATTTTTAATAAATTAACAGGGGTCAACATCTTCGTCATCAATATTTTTTTTCATTTAAATATAATTATAATTTTCAGGCTACAAATAGTAAAATGTATGTCTTTAGCTAGAACTTTATAATCTATATAATAATCTGAAAAATCATATGATATAATAACAAATATATACTCTATTTGTTAAATTTTATATTTCATTTATAAATGTCTGAGGATATAAAGTCTAGAGTCATGAATTATCTTAATTGTCCATATGGAGACATGCATGAAGGAGAATAACTTAACTTTGTTTGTCTTGAAACAACTTGTAAAGAAATGGGACTCATCTGTCCTGTTTGTAGAACTTAAAAACATTCTAAGCATAAAGTCATTCCATTAAAGATCTTTCTTGCAGATATTTATACTAATGTTAATGCTAAGTAAAATCAAAATTCATTGGAATCCTTACTTGAACAATTAGATTAAGTTCGTCTTAAAATGTTATCAAGTCTAAAAGATATAGTCTAAAAAATGGTTTTGTATGATTTTTATGTCTTATCAATAGACAAATAAAATTACTTGAAGATTAAATTAACTTAAGTCATAAGAATACAAAATAAAGATTATTGGAATAAAATCAAACATAAATGAATTTTCCTTAATTGTTTCAATAAATCTTAAATACACAATATAAGAATGTAGATTTATTAAAATAAGATGTACGTAAGATTATTGAAAATGTAAGTTAACAATAACCTGGAAAAATTGAAATCGATTTTAAACCTTAAAAACTGTTTGATTCCTATTCAAAAGCAGTAAAAAATTCTATAATTATCATTCTAGTCATAAGAAGCCATTAATTAATTATAAATGTTATTGACATCATTTAAATAATCAACTTAAAAAATATCTAAACCAATTGAAAAGTTTACTTTGCCAATTATTAATCATAATCAAATTAATTTCATATTTAGTTAAACTATGAAATCAACAACAATTAATGTACAAGATTTTAAAATAGCTACTCAATCTGTGCAATAAAATATTGAAAATAGATTTATTTTAATTGAACCTTCTATTTAAGATTCATGTAAAATTGCTTTTAAAATTTTACATTTAACTAATTTCATTGGTTTGGGGATAGCATTAAAAAATGTTCTTCAAGGAAAGAAGTACTCTTCAAATTAAATAAATTAGTCTGAGATTTGATTATTAAGCTATGGGACATGGCTCATATATGGCATCATCTAATGATCATGTATGGTCACATAATAAAAAGGAGGAAAATATGATATCTAAATCTTTTCCATTTGGAACTGGGGATATTATTATTATAGATGTCAATTTAGAAAATAAAGTATTTATATTAAATATCCATATAATAGATAGTAAAGTTTAAAAATAAAAATTCATTGAATGAACCAATATCACTAGCATTTGATATTCCAGAAAATGATGAAATTGTTTTTTGTGTTAATTTGGGTAGTGCAGGAGAAAGGGTAGAAATTTTAGATGATTGGGAGTGATTGTAATATATAAAAAATATTATTAATATATATAAATAAATTTCAATCAATTTTATTGATCATATATATCAAAAGGATGTAAATAAAATATTTTTAGATATTCTCAACAGATTAGGAAATAATTCTAATTATAATAATAATTATTATTATATAGTATAAATCAATAATCTAACAAAATATCATATCAAATATTTTGAAGATTCAAAAGAATAATGTTGATTTATTTAACTATTTTCAGATTAATTTTTACAATTAATTTCTTTATAAGAATTATAAGTATATTCAAAGAGCTTTATTTTTTTCTACTCCTTTTCTATATAACTTTAAAATAAATTTATTTTATGATTCCTTAAATTATTTAGAAAATCAGTGGATGTGTTACTTTTTCCATTTTCTTTTAAATTCTGAAATAACTTTTAGAAAATCATCTCATCTGTTATTATAAGTTACCCATCCTTGATTAAAAAGAGAAAATAGAAAAATCAATAATGAAATCATAAATTTTTAGTTTAGAAATGTTCTTATAAAAATAAAATTCTATTATATTATATTAAAAAATATGAATTTAAGTTATAAGTAATTAATTATCAAATTTACAAAGAGAGCAATGACCATCTGTATTCCATTTCATCAATGATTTATGATTAATCAGCTACTTCGCCTTACATCCATGGATGAGACTGAATTTCAGGAATCTATAATACAAAAATAAATATATAAATTACTGATAATCTCCGATTTGGATTAAAAGCCAAAAGTTTGACTATAATATCCTTTAATTCAGCTGAAAACTCGAACTAATGTTTTTCCCAAAACTTTCCTATTTATTATCTACATAATCAAATCAAATATTACCTATAGATAAACTAATAATTTGGATCACACTTAATATTAGCATTATGAAATGGACTAGATCCAGCACAAATTTAAAATAAAATAACTCCTAACTAAAACAAATCTGCCTCTACTGGATGATATGGCTGTCTAAGATATATCTCTGGGGCTGCAGTTTAAGGTGTCCCAACATAACTATAATCATAAAGATAATAAATTACTCATTCACTTTAATTCTTCTTCCTTATTCATCTAAATATTGAACAGCAAATCCAAAGTCACAAATCTTCAACTTATATTAATCATCTATTAATATATTTTCTAATTTTAAATCTCTATGAGCAATACCCATCTTATGAATCTTATCAATTACTATTAATTATATATATGAACTATTACTGAATATCATTTATTTAAAGAAACTTCTGGCTATGTTTTCTTCCAATCGTGATTATTATAAGTATTATAGTAAGTTTCCATACTTAGCATAATCCATCATTATACACCCTCTAAGTTGACTTTCTCTTATTCTAATAACTCCAGAAATGTGACTTAACTTGTTCATTATACGAATCTCATTCTCATATAGTTAATCTTACTAAGCCTTAAATACTTTCAGTGCCATTAATTCTCCAGATCTTGAAACTAATTATACACTAATTTTCAATTTAAAACAATACTCAGCTGAAAATCCACATCCTATATTACTTATTACACTGTATTCTTCCTCAATTGATGTTTAACACATATTGATAATAAAATTTATAATATTAGAAGATTAGGATTATAATGGCTAAATATTAATCAAATACAATAAACTCAGTAATTATTATATATTATAAGTTTATTCCCCTTATTTCTAATTATTTAAAAATATTCAACATAATATCAAACTCAATTTTTGTTACTATAAACCTTAATTTATAAACTCCACATATGTGAAAAATATTTATTATTAAATTTATTTAGAATACCCCTAATTCTATAATAAATTATGATATATTTTAATTGATTTTGCATTTGTAATAAATATTATAAGAAATAGTTTTCTATTGATACTGTGGTGTAGACGTTATCACTCGTTTTTTTACAATTTACGAGGCTGCCATTTCGAGACTGGCAGTGATCATGTTTTTATATTTAAATTTATTAAAATAATATATATACTAATATAAGCTTAAGATAGCTTAAAGTATTAAAATTTACAGATCATTTGTTGATTGAATAGTTTTGTTCTATTGTATGAAAAATATCAAAATAAAGGAATTCAACTTTGAAATATATTTGATTACCTATATATATCTTTATCTATCATAAACATTGTTTTTCTCATTTTGAAAGCTATGATACTTCTTAATTCAAACCCTCATGAATAAGGCTTTACTCTTTATTATGTTAAATTTAAATCTTTAAATTATTTGACTTTCTACATAATTTAACTTAATTTTTTCACTAAATTCTTTTTATAGTATTTCTGATATTAAGTTATAATTTTCCATCACCAGGAATAATTTGTCTAGATCTTAAATCCATGTGTTAAATTTCTTAAGCCTTAAAAGTAATCTATTAATATCTTAGAAAGATTGAATAAAGTATTTTTAATCTCATAATTTGAACTAAATAATAAAAATTATATCAATATATTCACCTATATAAACTTAAAATATAAAATCTAAATGAAGAATGTTTTAATTATTTATTAATATCATCCTTTTCTATTATATCTCTTATTGTAAAAATTAAAGATTTTAAATTTTACAGTATCATCATATTTAATTATTATATATCTATAAGTCTGTATATTTACTTTTAATTTATTATTTCTTTCTTATGAAGATTAAAGAATTTATAAGTAAGGGAATATTAAACTTATTCATTATAAAAACCTGTTTAATTTTTTGTATATATTTATACTAAATTTTTAAACATTAAAATATAATAATTTTCTTATTAATCATTTACAATAGAAGAGATAATTAAGAGTTAAAACTAATACTTATTAAGTAGTAAATAATTATTTATTTAAAAATTAAAATTTATATCTGAAATGGTATATTAAATCAATGTTTAATATCAAATAAAGTTGAAACGCTTTCCTTTTTCTAGACCCTATAAATAGCTTCTGCCAATAGAGGAGCTTAAATTAGCTAAATCAATTACCAACAGATAATCTACAGATTTTGTCACCTAATACTTCTTCTTGAGGTTTTGATGGAATGGTATTTGTAACTATGATCTAATCTAAGGAAGGACTTGAGAGATTTGTAAATGCTTTGCCAGAAAATAAGGCATGAGTTGCAAATGCAAAGACTCTATTGGCTCCTTGTTCTTTTAAGACTCTGGCAGCTTCAGAGAGTGTACCCTTTATGAATTTAGGATTAAATTTACTGCAGTATCAATCATATCATCAACTATAATACAATCCTTTCCTTTTACTTAACCAACTAAGTTCATGGATGCAATTTTTCCTGGTCCTTCTCTTTATTTAATAATCATAGCTAAATGTGATTGAATTCCAGGATGATGTTAATCAAATTATTCTTAAAATTTCTTTGCCCTATAAACACCACCTGCATCTGGTGAAATAATTGCAACATCTTTAAATTCATATTATTTTTAGAGTGATAAATAATTTTGAGCAACTAAGTTTGCTTCAAGATTATCAACAGGTACTCTAGGTCCAAAGAACCCTTGAATTTATCCGCAATGTAAATCAACAGATATAAGTCTATCAACCCCTACTGTTTCTAATAATCTAGCAACATCTGCAGCTGATATAGGAACTCTTGGTGCACATTTCCTATCCTAAAAATATAGTATAAAGGATACTTGTCTTGCGTATCCATAATATGGAACCACAACAATAATTTTTCTTGCTGATGCTCTTCTTAAAGCAGAAACTAATAATAATAATTCCATTAAATTATCATTAACAGGAGGTGAAGTTGATTGTATGATAAAAACATCTTTTCCTCTAATATTATCAAGAACCTATTTTATATATAATATCAACTTAAATTTGACATTCCCCATCTGCAAATCTTCCAATGGTGACACTACCTAATTTAATATTCAAATATTCAGCAATTTCTAATAATTATTGATAAAGAATAATACCTTCAGCCAACTCTTTATTAGAGTTACCAGATAAAATAATTGTATTTTTACTAAGTTAGATATAATAATATACTAAAAATCATCTTCAGGTTGTAATGCTCTTTTGAATGCTCTATTTAGGTTATCACCATATTATTTAATGTTAGGGTTAACCTATAAGCTTAGTCTCTATCTATAACAAATAGTTGATAATAATCCAACTAACATCAATTGTTTAGCATTATTTCGAAAGATATTATAATGTCTAAATGAGCTGAAAATCTTTGTAAACATAAAAAATAGATATTTTTAATTCCAAAATTTGTCACCTTTAAACAATTAATAAGATGTCACTTTTATAGATATGATTAAAACATATTAGATAATAAATTTTTAGAATTAAGAGTATTATCATCAATAATTACATAAATTAATTATAAGTTTGATAAAATAAAATAATATAAAAACTCTTATTTAAATATATTGATTTTTGAAATGATTGATGATTAAGATAAACAATAAGAAGATGATTGCATGAATTAATATTGTCGAAATGAATAAACATAAGTTTGGCCAGCTAAATTCAGCAATTAAACTCTGTATTTCTGTTAAGAATGTTTAAATTTATATAATGAAAAAAAGTGCTGTTATTTTTGTGCATAAGTATATTTTAAATCAAAATTAAGGTCTATTCTGAAGACAATTAAAATTTTTTGGATGGTCAAAAATGGATTGGTTGTGATCAAGATGGATGTGAAAAATGGGTATAATATTTATATATAGTAGTTTAGACTCATTTATAATGTGAATCAAAAAATGGAATTTCCTAAATTGACATATTAGTGGAAGATACTAAATATAAATATATTTGTCCATGGTGTAGAATCGAAGATTAAAAATAAAGATTTTTAAAAGCTCCTTGCCGAATAATGAATAAAAAAGCTCTTAAGTATTTAGAAAAGATGAATCGAAGATAGTCTAATACAAATGAATAGCCATAACATAATAATTAATCTAATGTGCCATAATTTTATTATTGTCCATCTGCTTCAAGTAAATAATCTTATCTTGAAGAATTGCTTAAGAAAAATGGTAGATTTAGTAAATAATATTATAGGTGGGTTTTGCTAATAAGTTACATAAGAGGAAATCTAAGTAGATCTTTAAAAAATGATATCTTTAATGAAATAATGAATACATATATATATACTTATTTTATATTATTACTCATATATTCAATCAGTTGATGAAGCAAGAAACTATTAAGAATTTCCATATCTGCTCTATTAATGAAGATGAGGTGGAATTTCAATATACCCTTCGAGTTTAGTTAAGTTTAGGAGATGAAAATGTCTAATATTTTAGAAATCCCCAATGGATTTAATAATAGCTGTGAAACTAAATTCACTTCCTCTTTCTAATTTTTCAATTTCTGAAGCTAAAAGAATCTTGAATAAATATTACATAATTCAGCAGCTATTTCACTATCAGCAGTCAATAATAAATCAGGATGAAATTCACTCTCTGCAGGATCCATTTTTACTAAAATATTAACAGAATGATGTAAGAACTTCATTAAAGATTATTAATTATCTTCTACTCTTATTGCATAACCTAGATTTGAATATATTAATTATACCTTTCCAATCTACTATTGTTCTATCGATATATTTTTATTAGCAACTTTATTAAAATTAGAGATTTTGAAATATTTTCTCTTTTGTGCATTTCTCTAAATAATCAGTCCAAGTATCAGTAATAGTAATATTAGGATTATAATGTTAATGATAATCCATCCATTATTAAGTTGGCATATCTAATATTCTATACCATAAAACTCCTAAAGTTAAGATTAATAACAAAGTTCCAATAACTATTCTTTTTGTTAAAATAACTCCAAATTCTCCAATTTTGAATGACATCATCTTTAAAAATATAATAATACTCATACTGAATCCTTTACACCTAATACATGAAATACTTTGCCATCACCACCAATTTCTTCATTGCATGCAGAACATCTAAACTCATTTAATCAAAACTACTTATGAATTAAAGTTCTTGTAATTATCATAATAACTGGAATTAACAATAGACTTGGCATAAGTCCAAAAATAAGCAAAACTAAGAAACACGTAATATAGCTTATATATCCGTTCTTAAAAGTAACTGTTGAAACTGTTGAATTTGAACAGAAAGGACACTTGATTTATTTAGGTCTACATCATATTTAATTTTACTAATCTCCTAACACTAATTCATTATTAGCAATCATGTTCTATATATGTTTATTTAATTTTTAATATAATAAATAATTTAACAAATTAATATTAAAATTAATGCAAATTCAAATAAGTGTTAAAAAATTAGATTATATATGTTTGAATTCATAAAGTAATTAAAATTGATATAAGTTTAATAACTAGTTTAGAATTAATTTATAAAACTTAAATTATAATTATCATTTATTATTCCATCTAAAATTGTTAGAAATAATATCACTAAAATTATAAACAAATTCAAAGTATATTTCTATCTATAGTTCTTATCTAAGATATTTAATTAATATAAATAGTTTATAATTAATTGTAAGAATTATTCTCTTGTTTCATATTAATATGCATTTATTGTAAATCATTATTTTCCTTAAAATGCTCTATAATGACTAATAAGATTTTTGGTAGCACTATTAGCATTAAATCCTGTAAAATCTAAATTGTTATGATTTTCAACATTTTTTAATAGAACTGATCTAACATTTTTTGCAAGAACCTTTCCTAATTCAACTCCCCATTAATCAAATGGATTAATTCCCCAAAGAATACTAATTTTATAAATATATATATTTATACCCTTCAACAAGTACACGATGTTCATAGAGAGCCAATAATTATCCTACATTATATGGATTGGCTTCATTTTAAAATAGAATTTGTAAACTACATCTATCTCCAGGGAATACTTTATGATGTTATAATTCTTCTTTTACTCCTTCAGCTATAACTTCTTCCTTAGTCTTTCCTCTTGCCAAAGCATCAACTTAAGCAAAGTAATTAGACATTAATTCATCATGTTAATCTCTTACAGCTGCTGGATTAGTAGCTCCAGTTTCAGCTTAAGATTTTGCATAACCTATAAATTCACAAGGGATAACTTATGAGCCTTAATGAATCAATTAGAAAAATGAATGTTAAGAATTTGTTCCAGGTTCTCCAAAAATAAATGGACAAGCAGATCTTAAATATTATTCATGTTTATCAGGATAAACAAGTGCTGTCTTACCATTACTTTCCATATGAACTTATTAAACATGTGCAGGAAATCTTAATAAGCATTATGCATAAGGAATCAAAGCCAAAGCTTGATATTTCTAATATAATTATATATTATTTACTTAGATACTTGCTCTATACCATCCCAATAATCCTAAAAGAACAGGTAGATTCTTATTTACTTATTTCTCATTTACAAGATGTTAATCAATAGAGTGAGCTCCATGTAAGACTTAAGCAATATAATCATAACCAAATTAAAGACTCAATGGTAAAACTCCAATAGCACTAGTAACACTATATCTACCTCCAACCCAGTCCCAAAATCCAAATACTCTTTATTCATTAATTCCAAATTTGCCTGTTTCAGCCAAATTTGTAGATACAGCTGTTAAATGTGATTCTAATATTTCCTTTTTTATTTAATTATAAATACTTTTTCATTTTCATGACCCAACAATTTATATTATTCTAAAATCCAATTTCTGCATACTTTTGCATTCATAATTGTTTCTGCAGTTGTAAATGTCTTAGAATTGATAACAAAAATAGTCTCTTCTACATTTAAACCTTATAAAGCTCTTATTGTATCAACAGGATCAACGTTTGCCAAAAATCTTAATTATCTTCCTTTAGATTTTAATTGTCCTTCATGATGTGTTCTTAAGGCTTCATATATGAATTCTATTCCCAAATAGCTTCCTCCAATTCCAATAACAACTGTATTTAACAATTATTTTTTAGTGTATCCTAAAAATGTTCCAGATCGAACAGATTCTGTAAATGTTTTAACTCTATTCAAAATATTGTACACATCTGGAATAACATTTTGTCCATCTACTATAACTTATTATGCTTCTGGTGTTCTTAAAGCTGTATGTAATACTGCTCTATTTTCAGTGGAATTAAATTTGATCTATTTATAATGAATACAATACTCCTGATTAGATATCTTAAAGAGTTCCAAATAGGTTTGTACTTTCAGCTAATTATTAAAATTATGTAATCAATTCAGCATCTACTTTTTCATGAGAATAATCCAATAAAATTCCATCATATGATGTTACCAAATGTTTGTTTCTCTCATCATTATCAAGTAGAGTTCTAAGATGAGTTTTGGATAGAACAGTCTCATAATAATGGGCAATCTTTTATTGTATATCCATTGACAAAAATATTAATTTTATTTATCAAAATCATCTTATTTCATTAATAATTTCATGTATTAAAAATGGTGATATAAAATTTAATATAAATATAAAATGTTTTATGAAGAATATAAATACTGCTAAAAAAAGTCAAACTACATATATTTTAATGATCCTATTTGGCTTCTTTAAGCATATTTTACAAAGCTCAAGTTTGTTTGAACATTCATAACAACAAAATCTATGACCACATTCCAAAAAGACCTAAAATTAATTTCTAAAATACAGAATTAATATCTTTAGATTGACAAATTTAACATAAATTAAATTCTTATTCTTCTTTTAATCTTTACTCTAATTCAATTACTTAATTTTTAAGAATATTGATGAGACCATTTTCTTTTGGAATAAAATTTGATTAAATTTCTAATTGTGAAATGCTAGATAAGTCACTGAATCTATGATCAAATACTTAAATTGAGTACCTTTTAATGATAAAGAATATTAAAATTACATATCATTATTTTTTTTAGTTCCATCATTCCCCCCAATTAAATAAATTGAAGTTTCATAAGAACATAATTAATGAAATGTTCTTGCAGAAGGAGTATTACCTGCTGTTTCTATAAACTTCCATTATTTTAATTCACAATTATATTCATATAGATCATTATATCTAGTCATAGCAGCATCAACTCCTCCAAAAATATATATGCTATATCCAATTATAGTACTACTATGTCTATAACGAGAAGGAGGCTTATTTCTAACCTTTTCCAAATACCAATAATTTGAAGCAAATGAATAAGTATACTAAATTTTAATAATTATCATATACAAGTTCATCTAAAGTCTTAAAGCCATCCCAACCACCAAAAACATACATTTAATTTTTATATACTTCTGCTGTATGACCAAATCTTTAGGATGGAATTTATCCATGAGTTTATAATTTAACCCAATAATTGTTTTGAATATCAAAGCAATGTAAATCACTAAATCTATAACTACCATCTGCACCTCCAAAGACATACAATTTTTCATTATTTATTACAAGAGACATATCAACTCTTGGATAAATTTCTCTTGTTGTTCTTATCTAATTCCATTATCTTAATTTTGTATCAAAAACATATAAATCATTAAAATATTCTCCTCTTCTATTAGTATATCCACCAAAATAATAAATTTCATTTTAATGAGCAACTCCTTTACAACCTGATCTTGGAGAAGGTGGTATTCCTTTAGGTGCAATTTATTCCCATTATTTCTTAAATAAATTGTAACAATGCATATCATTTACTATAGTATTTTCATCAGATCCACAAAATAAATAGAGATTTTCTTAACATTGTACAACTGAGTGACCTGTTCTAGGAGTGAACTTTCTAAATTTCATATATACATTTACATTTCTGAATTAGTTTCAATCTTCCATTCATAATATTTTCCTAATTCCAAAAATGAAGTTCCTTCTTCTATATGTTAAACTTCTAATGGTATGTCCTATAAAAATTCTTCTCTCTCTACTGTATGACTACGATAACTCACTAATGATGATTGAGGTTATAGATCGACCAAATTGGCCATCTTAACTTAATCTAAAACTTAATATTTACTTGAGAAAAATTAAGAATTTAGAGATCTTAATAATTTAAACCTCCAATAATTAAAATATCTTCTCGAGATTAATGTAATAAACAGAGCATTGTATGTTATACACGAGGGTATGGATGTCTACTTACTTTTGGTAATTCAATCCATTTCAATGTGACTATATTTAGAGCATAGAAATTATCATTGCATCTTTTTCCATCCAATGTACATCCTCCAAATATTATTAAATACTCTTTCATTGCTAATGCTGCTTAATGTCTAAATATTGATATAGGATTTTTTATTTCCAATCTAATCCAAGTTCTTAAATCAACTAATAACCAGACATCATCTAATATTATTTATCCATCACTTCCTCCTGTTACAATTATAGTGTCTTCATAAACAGTACATTAATGTCCAAACCTATGTGCAGGTTCAAATTCTATTTAATTCCATCTAATGCAATACATTTATTTATTTTACTTATCACTTCCTATTGTGTACGTTTTACAATCATTAAAAATTTTCTTTTAAGTTCTTCCTCCAATTATTAAAATTTAACCTCTATACATACACATACTATGTTCAACTCTTCCTGTTGGAGCGCTTTTTATTTAACGGAATTTCAATTGTACAACATCAACTTCCAAAAATTCATCAAGTAAAATCGTCCCTTCGATATCTATACTTCCACCATAACAATATATTTTTCCTTAATTCATTACAAATTAACTATTATATCTATTGTTCATATTCAATTGTCACCTAGCCTTAAATGGAATTCCATTGTATAATTTCCGCCATTTAAAATCAATTAGGCTTAAACTATACAAATCATTCTATTTGTAGTTATCAACTATTAAATATAAATTATCTTCATAAAATGTGCAAGGATTTGTAATTTTATTTGGTAATGTTCCTTATAAACGTTGAATCTCCCACTTTAATGCAATTTAAGACATTATTTGATTATAATTTATATAATAAACATTTAGAATATATCCATCCAATTCCATTTAAACAACAATCTAAATTCTTAATTTGAAATTATCAAATTGTTTAGAGTATGGTTCTCTGAATTGTTTTCACCTTCAACTCTATACTCATAATCAGATGATCAATTATATTCATACCTTTCAAATTACTCTTTATAATTTATTAAATTCTAAACTATGTATGCTTTTAATTCTAAATTGTTATCTTTCTAAAATTAAAAAATTAAATACTTATATGATTGCAGTAGCACAAGTTCTTATTCGTTTGATACTTAAAATCCTTATAATTATTCACAAAGTAATTAATTTCATTTTATCATTCATTTATTCAAAATGAAAGATTTAGCAATGTAATATTGTTTGTGTATTTTCTTTTAATTAATACTATATTTACTTAAAATGATTTATTTATTCTAAATAATTATTATTCTTTTGAAATTTCAATTCTTTATGAATTTTCTATTTTTAATTAATCCTATATAATTAATTTTGCTTTTTATTTAATTCATTATTCTATAATTGTATTAATTGGAATACATCCTTCTTTTAATTTCAATTTATTTTAAATTCTAAAACTGCAATTCCCCCTATATTAATTATACTTTTTCTATTTTTAATTTATCTTAAATTATATTTATATCATTCTTAAATTCATATTAAATCTTCTATATGTATAATTATTAAAAGTAATTTATAAAGTTTTAAATATATAAATTTCCTCCTCCATATGAATATTCTAAATTTATTTCTCTGTAGATTATTCTTTTATACTATTATTTACTCTTTAAATACTTAGGTTCTAATATGGCTTTAAAATGATAAATATTTTTCTAATTGCATTTATTTAAACTATCTCCTCAGATTATTTTTTTTGATTTCTTAAGATAATTTTTATTATTATTATTATTCTATTTGAATTTTAGAAGTCATTTTGTTTATCCTTCAATTCTGATTTTATATTAACTATGTTTATCTCTAATTTTGATATAAATACTTCTTATTCTTGTATTATTTTTCCTATTTCCACTTAAAATTTAAACACTTTTAATTGTTTCATATCCTCATTACTTTTTTGATAGTTTCAAATATTTTTTTAGAAGTTCCTATTAAAAACATTCAACCAAAAGATTTAGAAAAGTTAATTAAAATTTTAAGATTCATCATTATTAAAAAAATAATTAAATAGAACAATTAAGAAATTATAAAATAATTATATGATTTATTAAATTAGATAAATTAAATCAACATCTACTCTATAAACTTCAAATTTATCATACAAAAAACCTTAATACTTTATTTTTAAAAAAACTTTGACTTTTCAATAGGATTTTCAATTTGATTCATTAATTTATAATCTAACTAATTGAAGATAAATAAAAAGAAGGATAAAATGAATATGAATTATGTATATGCAAAGATAGATTATTTTATAATTAATTAATTTTATTTTCCTCTAAAATAAAATATTTAAATTCAAATAAGGTCAATAATCATTTGGTTTAAATGTTAATAGGAAAATATCATTTAAATGTAATGTAGAATAGTATTTGTTTTTAATTATTTAAATATCCTCTTCTATTATAGTTAATGATATAATCTATAATATATTAGGATTATTTATAATTAATAGGTATTATTTCATATTTTAAAATAATTATGTTTCAGTAATTCTTTAGCAGATGGTCTTTCTTTTGGATCAGTTTTCAACATCCATCTTAATAATTCAATGAATGAAGAATGAATATTAATATCTTAAAGATGAGAAAATGAAATTCCTTATCTCATATATTAATCTGAAATTACTTTACCTTTTGAAAAAAATTTAGAATCTTAAATCATCCATTATGGAAATGGACCATTTAAATATTCAATCATCAATAAATGTTTTTAGTTATTATTTTTTAGTTTACCAAATAATTCTTTTTAGAAAAACATTTCATGCATTAAACATCCAAGACACCAAATATCTTATTTTGAATTCCATTCAAGACCCAAAATAACTTCAGGTGCTCTATATTCTTCAGTATTAACTAATCCTTTATAAAATTGTCTGCCATAAACAACATTTCCAAAGTCTATTATTTTGACATTAACTTCATCAAATTATGATTTAAAGAGAATATTTTCTAATTTAATATCAGTATGAAGATATTAAAGCTCATGCATATAATCAATTGCATTTAATAATTACTACATGATAGATTTGATTTATTATTATGTAAATCTTTTTTTTATTAAGGATTCATATAGAGATGGACCTAAGGCTTCCATTAGAATACATTGACATTATTTGTGATAAAAAAAATCATATACTTTTACTATATGATGTCTACCAGGATGGTCAATTAATTTAGGGAATAAATTTAAAAATTATACTGCTTAGTATTCCTTTTCATAATCATGAAATGAGTTTTTAATAATCTACTTATAAAAAATAATCTTACTTTTAAAGCACGTTAATTATTTGATTAAACATCTCTAACTTTGATAACTCTTCCAAAGGTTCCTTCATTAATTCTCTCTAAATATTTGTACTTTCCTCCTATTATATCACCTTTATCTAAAGAATAACATGATTCTTCTAAATCTATGACTTAAATTGGTTTAACTTATTTTTCTTTTGAACGAGATCTTTCACGATCATCAATAATTATATAATTTTTTCTCATGAAAAAAATTATGTTTTCTAAAATTATTTAAAATCACTAATCATTACATAAATAAAATTAAAATTTAAATTATATATTCTGGGTATGAAATAATTGAACGATCAAAGCAACAATCAATTTTTCTCTATATTAGGCAATGCTATCTCTTGTACAAATATGTATCTATAATAGAATGTCCGAACTATGATTCAAAGATGAATTATCTTTTGGAGTCAAGAAAAATATATTTATTTAATTAAGTCTTACAATAACAAATTCAGTTTATCAAAGATTAAAATAGTTTATTGGATAAATAATTTATTTAACCTTAAAAGAAATAGAGAAGAAAAGCAACAGAAATTTCTAAAATATATAAATGTACCTAATGTGAAAAATTATATGGTTCAGAAGCCTCTCTAAATCTTCATAGTAAACTAAAACATCCAACAATTGAATCAGAATCAAAAACATAGATTGAACAAAGTTTTTAAATTTGATTCATTTTTAGTTTTAATTAAGTCTTTTTTTTTCTTTAACAATTTAATAAATTTTATACAATTTATATATATAATAAATTAAATTAAAATTTTTATTTTAATATATATATATAAATATTCTCTAATGAAACATAACTGCATTTCTTTAATTATTAATAAAAATTAACAAATTCTAATTATTATTTATATTACAAGGTGTTGAATTCATAAATTGTTTATAATATTAATTTTTCTAAGTTTAATTAAAAATATTAAATAAAAATTAAGCTTTTCAATTATGACAGATATCCATTCTTAACGAAAAAGTCTTTAAAAAGTAGTTTTATTTCTTAATTTAGTAAGCATATATTGATGATTTATTTACTAATGACAATGAAACAGATTATGATAAAGACATAATAAAATTATATAATACTGCAAAGAGAGAAAGGAAAACTATCGAAGCTCACAAATAACTATTAGATAATAGGGTAGCATTATTGAAATAAGAAGAAATACGTACTCTTAAAAAAATAGAAGAAACCAGAAAAAAAGCATTAGAGATTTATTATTTAAAGAAAAAAAATGAAGAGAAACTTAAAAAAGTAAATATTTTTATATTAAATTTAGAAAGAGGAAGAAAAGGAATCTTTATAAAAAAAATAAGAATAATAATAATAAATTAGAAAATAATAAGAAAAAGAGCATAAGTTATTAATTTAAAAGCATATGAATGAAAAATAATAAAAAGCATTTATTATAAAAGAATAATCTAAGAAAATAGAATTAAGAAAATAAAATATTTAAAAATAATCCTTAACTTCTTTGAAAGAAAAAAATTAAATCTTTCGAGAATCAAGAGACATTAATAGAGTTATGGAAAGAATATAATTAGAAAAAAGAGAAGCTATTAAAGCTTAATTAGGAAAAAAGTTATAATCTGAACAATAACTTAAAGAAATTAAACAAAAAGGTAAATGTTATAAAAATCTTAGAAATTGATTAAATTGAAACCTATGAAATGGATTTACTTTAAAAATTGTAAAATACATAATAAATGTAAAAAACAGCATTTGAAGAATTAGAATCAGCTTTGACTATGACTGCTAAAGAATTTGCTGAAAAATATTTGTAACCAAAATAAAAAGAGTAATTAAAAATATTAAAATTTAGTGATTAAAATAAGGAAATCTCTAATTTTAATTCAGATGATGAAGAAGCCAACAAAGAAAAAGAACGTCCTCACATTAGTGAACCTTCTTAAGACTAATCTTCAAAAATTTCTATATAATAGATTAATGAGATTAATGATTAACATTAATAAAATGATTCTAAATAAGATGAAGATAATGATTAGAATGAAAATTAAAATTAAAATTCAAAGGAAGAAACTAATTAATAAAATTAAAATAATTTTTAATAAGATGAATAAAATAAAAGTTAAAAAGGAGATCAAAATGAAATTTCAAATCTTTTGGATTCTCCAAAAAATAAAGTAGAGTAAGATTAATAATAATAATAATAATAATAATAATAATAATAATAATAATAATAATAATAATAATAATAATAATAATAATAATAATAAGATGAATGAATGTTATTATATTATGATAATAAAAATTATCACTTATACTTATTTTTTATATCCATACTTCTTAAATTACTGATATATCTATAAATGATGATGATTATTTTCTAATATCATATCTATTATTATATAAGAATTATATAATCTTAATTATTTTATAAATTATTATTATATTTATTTAAATGTTAATGTCTAATAAAATTAATTGCCTTAATTACATATATTAATATTTTCTTATTTATTTAACTTTAAAATAATTCTTCTAAGTCTTATCATTCTATGTAATTATTTCACTCAATTAATTATCGAATTTAATGAAGAATTGATCTAGTTTGATTGACTTTTCTTTATCTATATTTAATTTATAATTTACATTTAATAATAATATTAATTCTAAAAATGAAGGATTGCTATTTACCTGACCCTGAAAAAATCAAATATTCTTTTAATTTAATTCTATTTACAAAGGATGAATAGTAGCGTAATCAAGCTAGTGAGTTTTTAAGATAACTTGAATAGAATGAACCCTAATTTTTGCTATCTTTAATACACATCTATGAAAATGATAATGTACATCTTCAGAAATAATAATTAGACTGAGGTCTTGAGACTTCAATCATTATTATTATTAAAAAATGCAATTACTAGAAATTGGATAAAAGCATCAATCATAAATGGTAAAAGGGCTAATATCTTAAATGAACAATTAAAAATACAAGTCAAATAATCTTTAGTTAAACTGCTTATTTAGAATATTGAAAGAAAAGAAAGAAACATTTTAAATCAAATTATATAAGTAATAGTTAAATATGATTTCCCGGGAAAATTTTAGGATTTGGAAAATTATTTTATATCAACTTTATCATAAATTAGTTAATTTGATAATGTTGTATCACATCCAATATATGATTTTATAAGAACCTTAAAATCAGTCTAAAAAGAAGTTTCAAAAAATAGATTAAGTAAAAAAATTATTTATAGAACTTTAGTGGCCTATAAAATTTAATAAAAAGAGTTTAGTCAAAAGGTTTTACCAATGTTTACACATCTATGGAGATATGTTACTTAATTATAATTTTAAGATTTATCTAAAGGTTCTGATATTACTTGTAATGTATTACTTTAAAAGACATCCTAAAAATTAGATTAAATATTAAGCTATTTAATAATGCCTTTTCATTAAGAGGAAGATTTGTAAAAAAATTAATATCATTAGATAAATTATATCAGAAATTTTCAAAATTTTACTATAGAAAGCATCTGAACTCCTAAAAGTATATCAAAATTCTGATATAATAAAAACTCATTTAAAAACATTGATTTGTAGTTTATCAAGTTTATAATAATTATATGCTATTAGTATTGGATATTCACTTTAGGATTTCTTGACAATTTTATAAATTATCTTATTATAAGTTGAACCTGAAAATCGATTAATTAATATTGGAATAGCTTCAATAACAAAGATTTTATAGACTCATTTTTACTACTGTTCAAATGAATAATTTAAAGCAACAATCCCTTAGCCAAAATCATAAATGTATATTCAATTAAGAGAAGTATGTAATGAAACTTTTCAGGAATTTTTTAATACTCACATTATATTTTTTTTAGAAAGATTAATTGTTATTAATTCTTCAAAGAGAAATTCTAATATAAAAGAAATCTTAGAAATTGAAAATGATTAAAAAAGTAAAACAAGTGATGATAAAGATGATGTTTGTGAATCAACTTATATTTTATGTGCAGAATGTTAAGAATAATTAATAAGTAGATTTCCTTAATAAATATTGAATTATATAATAGAAAATACTTAGTAATTATTATCAACTAATTATTCAGTTATAAAAACTGAACTTATGGATAGTTTCTTTTCATTATTTGGTAAAGCTATAAAAATTCAAGAAAAATAGAAATTATAAACTGTTTCTTTTATACCTATTTTAAATTATTTATTTTAGACTGAAAATCCAAGAAATTATTATAGATATATTATGTTAGGAAAAGAATTTATACCTAAATTTTGTCAATCTGAATTTGAATAATTTTTTGAACAAACTATAATTATAATTATAAAATCAAATGATATAGCAATTAAAATTGCAGGATTTGATTGCATAAATTAAATTATGATAAGTAAAATAAATAGAATTGATTATCCAATTTTGTTAAAATTAGAACAAGTAATATCATTATTACACAACATATTAAAAGAGGATGATATATCTCATTATATTTAGATTATTAATAACTTTCTGTACCAATATATATATACTTCTTTAGTAATCTCAACAAATTCTAATTAGTTTGAAAATAAACTATTATAAAATCAATATTTAATTAATTTGTTTAATATAAAAACAAATTTAGTAGTTGTAAATTTTTGTGAAATGTTTAAAAAGTTATTGATTAGTTTTTCTTTTGGTAATGTACCAAATTAACTTATTTAATTAGCAATAATATTTATTACATAAAATATTCAAAACAATCATCAAGATGTATTAGATTTGTATTTAAAATTGCTCTATGAATTTAATAAATGTATGAATGATAATACAACAGGTATTTAATTATAAGGATTATTCTTGAAAAATGAAAATCTACTATTGTAAAATTTAGAAAATTAGACAATTTAATGCTTTATTTTATAAATGATAAATGAATTGATATTATTAGATTTATTACCTATATCAAAAAATCTTTATTAAATATTGGCTTCATTATTGATTAAAGCATAAACTATTATTGATATTGAATAATAAGTAGAAATGAAAAATAATTGTCTTAATGTAATGGAAACAATAATTTTATAATAAATTGGAAAAATAGATGCATCATTTTATGGAAATTTGATTCTTTATTTAATAAAAGAATTTATAGGTTTTCAATCAATATTATTAAAATCATTTTAATTTATTGAATTAAAAACTAGAGTTATTAACATTTTGAATATATTTTTCTTTAAAGAAGAAACTTATTTTATGGAAATAGTTAAACCCAATTTCCCCAACTATGATTAATATTTTATTTAATGGCAAGAGAATTCAATCAATATCATTAATAAAGGAAATAAAAAGTTAAATATAATAACAACTTTAAATTTTTTAAAATATATTTCTCAACACACATTATAGATTTTTATAGAATCTATACTAAAAGAAAGTTTAATTGAAATTCAATATTATATTGATTATTAGAATGAAGAATTTAGAGAATAATAAATAAAAAATCGTTTATAATATCATAGTTTAGAGAAAGTAAGATTAAATAAGAATAGAGAAAGCTTAAGAAAAGAAGAAATATTTGAAAGAAACTTAGATTATAATAAACTAAATATCTAATAATTAGTTTTAGCAACTATAAATGTAATAATTATATCTATAACTAGTAAGTTATGATTTAATTCAACCTGCAAGGAATGTAATAGATCATTTAAGATTAATATTTATTAGGCTAATTGAATTTATTAGTTGATGAATGCTGATATACAGATGTATTTAGTTATTAAACCAATGAAATTGATCATTCTTTTTTCTCTTCTGCTCTTATCTTGCCTTTTCCATTTGTTAATCTAACATTAAGTTCTGCTGCTCTTCTTACAAGAGTTGCTCTTTTTCTGGCAGAAAGATTGTGAGCTAATTCACCTGCAAATGTTCTATTATTTGTTAATAACAATTCAAGATCTTTTTCATTTGTTATTAACAATTTTCTAAAACCAGTTTAATCCAAATATCTAATATAATCATAGTTTATAATACCTTGTCTTCTTATCACCTCTATAACCAGCTTTAGGCATAGGTCTATTACCTCTAAATCTTCTTCTCACTCTATTATCAATACCTCTTGGTCTTCTCCAACTTGGTCTTAATTTATGAGGATAATCCTCTGATTCAAATCTAACAAATCTCTTTGTTCTTTTATGTACAATTCTTTTATGAGCAAGTGATTTGACAACCATTTGTTTATTATTAAATAAAAGATTTTAATTTAAAAATTATCATTATTTTGTAAATAAATATTATAATTGTATATGATCATTTTGAAATGTATTCTTTTACAATAACTATAATAGATTAAACAATCTCTTTATTATTATAGAAATAATAATAAATAAATGTAAACTACTATAAAAAATTAATTATTTTAATATAATAATTATTCTGATATTTAATTAAGAAAATAAGTCTTGAAGAGATATAATTTAATGATAAATTCAAAGATTTTAATAAACTAATTATTTCCCTCCAAAATTTATAAATTTGAATAATTAGATTACCAACAAATTTTATTTTTTTTGTTGCAAAAAAAAAAGTCATAGAAAATAAATAGTTTACATTTACTGCACCAATATGGTGATTGTAATCATAAATTGTAATTGAAATCATATTTTTCATTGCATATTATTTGAAATGACTTATTATTATTATGCACTTCTTAATTTTCTTTTTAAGATCCTCTTTCTTCTTATTTTTGGAATTTTATTTTATTCTGTTGATGTCAATTTTGATATTTTCTGGTTTATTTTGTAGATGATCTACTTTTTGGTTGAATTCTTACATTTTTAATTTTTATAGGTATGTTTTATGTATCTTCTGAATAAAACTTTGTTATAGCTTCATACAATTCATATTTTTGATAATAAAGGAAATCTGAATCAAGAGTGACAAATAAAATAAGATCAGAATGAACTTCTTATTGATCATAATAGTCAGTTATTGTGGTGATATTTACATCATAATCTACAAGTGTTAAAATACTCATTTCCATTTCCATTATTTATTTAGAACTAAATTCAAAGTTATATTATGATGCATAATCATCTATATTCATATTGATTTAGGTTTGGCATTCATTAAACTTATTTAAGATATTAAAACTAGTTTACTTTGACAGCAATCATTAATGAGGCTATTCCCAACAATTATAAATTATCTGATTGTATCTAATTTTTAGAAACATAAATCTTTATTAATATTACAGCTAATTCTATTGTTTTGGTATTAAGGTTATTATTCTCAGAAATCTAAAATGCTACTAATAACAAACCATAAAGATCCAATGGATTAGGATTTCAAGTTGCACTATCTTTTGATGAGATATTGGTTCCGATAATTTAATATCTCTCATCTTTAAATAGTCATTGTTGTCGAAATCCATAACTATTTTATAAAATATTATAATTTGAAAATATTCACATCTAAAGAAGTCAATTTTTTTTGTAAATCTTAATTGGAATTAAAATCTTATTACTAAGGAATCTGAAAGAATGGAGAACTTTCATCCTTATGATTCTAAAATGACTAATACTAATATATTATATTATTTATTTATTAATGGACAATCCAGATAACTATATTGTTAATATTTTCAAAAATGAAATCTAAATTAAAAGGATTAGAAAAGGTATTCCTTAATTATATATATAGAATTAAAATAATTAGAAATTTTAGATAGGAAGGAATTCAAAATTACTTTTAAGCAATTGTCTAATAATTTACAAATCATTGTACTTATTATACATTATATAGGTTGAAATGTAACCAGTTGTACCATTAAATTAAGGTAAACCTATCAAATTTTGCTTATATCTTGATAATAAATTCCCATTTGTATTTCCTAGAGTTCATGTTCTTAGTCATGTACAAATCAAATTATATAAACTTAGTTAACAAAACCCACTTTTGCTGATGGAAGAGACTATATTGAAGATGTTTTACATTAATAATGGAGTCCATCCATTTTATTAAATGAAATCATTCAAAAATTTCCTTAATTCCTAGTAACTCTATGAATATTCTATAATTAGGATTAAGTGAGACGTTGTAAAGATGATAGAGATCAGTTATTATCTTTAGGCAAATATAATTAAGATTTGGAATATGAAGGATAATTAGGTTTGGAAGATGTTGAATATTTTTGTTGTAAAGAAATAATTGATGGAAAATCTTATTAGAAAATATTATAATTAAGTAATAGTCATATTTTGATATTGGAATCTTAAAATAAAGTTTTAAATTTATAAGGCTATTAACCTACAAAAGATTTAGTTAAAGTTGAAAAAATAGATAATAGTGCTATATTAACATGGAGATCTGATGACAATTTTAGATAATAAGTATTAATCCCTTAAAATATTGATTAATTTATGGATTCAATTCTACTCTATAAAACTGGTTCTTCTGGAAAAAAAATATAAGAAGAAGAAGTAACATTATAAAAGTTTGAGAATTTTGAAATATAAAAACTCCTTGATTCTGTAACTTATTATGAGAAATCTTTAGAGTAAGAATTAAACTCATAGACATTGAATTCTCTTATGGACTCATATTAATAAGTAAATATTTATCTAATTAGGCTATTGAATATTTTTCTGCAGTTTCTGATGAAGATTTTAAGGAATATGTTATGCGTCTTTAAACTTTACTAGGAAGAGAAGATGTTTAAAAAATACTATCCAATAAATTGTGATCATGCAGTTTTTGTATATGATTTATTGTTAAAATTCAATCAAAATTTATTAATCATTTATGAAAATTGATTTATTTTTAAATCTAATTAAGTAAAAGAAATTTATTATCAAGAATATATTTTTTATTGATAAATATAGATTCTGTAGTTTTTTAATTAAAAATATCACACAAACTTTCATAATTATTATTACTTATCATTCATCCAAATCGAATTCGAGTAAGATAAATAAAGATGGTAAAAATGCTTAAATTAACTCTTATTGCATATTTGGAATTAAATCTGTATAATAAGGGCCATATTATTTTGCAATATCTTCAAGAGAATTTTTTTCTCTTAAATTTTTAAAGGTGTTATAGATAGATAGAAATTCATTTAATCCCAATTCCTTCTCTAAAGCTGATCTTATTTTTTCTGCTCTCTCATAACCTAGTCGTGGATTTTATTTTTTAGCTAATTAAATGAATATTAATTTTACAATTCTATTGTTATGATTAGACTAATTATTCATTTTATTTTTCTTTAGCAGAATTCAATTATTATTACTTTTATTCTATTTGTGACATGAAAGGTAAATAAATTTCAGGAATATCTTTATTTTTCACAATTTTCTTTTCACTTTATTATTAATCTTATTTTTTTGGTTGACCAAATGATTCAATAATTAATTCTTAAGGCTTCTACTATTACTATTAAGATTTCTAAATATTTTAATAATAATCAATACTTTTTTTTATATATCTTATTTCATAAATTTGGTTTACTCTTCTCTTGTTTACTTTTTTTATTATTTGTATTCATCCTTTTTTATAATAACCTAATGCTACTATTTCTCTAGATTAACAATATATCATACTTTATATTGGTTATATTGCTATCTTTGTTATAGGTTACTATTTAATATTTAATTATTTAATTCTATTTTAGATTATTTGATTTTCTATCTAATTATTAAAATATACATAAAATTTATTCTATGGTTGGTCTTTTATTTTGATCAATCTATAATAAATTTTATATTAAATTTTTCATATTTTATGAATAAACTTAAGCACTTATAGGTTAAATTTTTCCTTTCATTATTTTAGTAGCCAGACCTGGTAATGATTCAGCTTAAAAAGGGTATTTAAATGTGCACATTTCATAAAGTAATACTCCTAATGCCCATATATCACTTTTATAAGAATAAGGTTAATTTTATATGATTTCAGGTGATAAATAATAAGGAGTTCCTATAAAAGTTGTTGCAAGAGTCTCTTCTACAGATCTTGCAATTCCAAAATCTCCTAATTTCAATTTGTCATCATGTAAAAATACATTTTCTGCTTTTATGTCTCTATGGATAATTCTTTATGAATGAACACATTAAATTGCTAAACATAATTAAGTAAACCAATCAATAATTTATGTTTCTGGTAATGGTTATTGCCTTGATTTTATGTATTAGCCTAATGTCCCATCTAATGATATTATTTTTTTTAATATAATACTATTGGCATATTCCATTATTATGCATAATCTATTTTTACTATCTATAAATGTTTCTACATATTAGATTATATTATCATGTCTCAAATTTTGCAATATTAAAGCCTCCTTTTTAGCTGAAGCTGATTGAGGTAATACTTTCATAACATATTTAATCTAATTTTCGTCATCAGAAGTCACAAGGTATGCTTTTCCATATGCTCCAACTCCCAATAATCTTTATTTTTTATATTGTTTTATTAATGTTTCATCTACTTAGATTTCATGAGAAAGACTAGTAATATCATCAATAATTATATGACTATCTTCATCCATTATTATAAATAAAAATATAATATGATCATTTTGTAAAATATAATAATCAAATCATTGTTGTTTTTCATAATTTTTAAAGGTTAAAAATGCAGACAAACTAAATAATAATTCAAAGACAATAAATATTAATGCTATTACATTTATTATTATCTCCAAAATTACAACATAAGTTTATAAGACAATAAAAAATATGTAAAAGAAAATGCATGGAAAAATGAGTAATACAAACCTAAAATATTCAATTAAAATACCATAAAATTTGAGATGGAGATTCAGTTTTATTTCCTATTGATCCCAATATCAATCTTGGAAATTAACAGAATGCTAGCAAAAATTGTAAAAATATTTCTATCCCTATCTTATTTGGTGGATAAAATAATCCATATCCTTTATAAATAAACACTATGATTTCTATTATGAAATAGATATACTATTATATTAATAAGTACCATACTGTGAAAATATAATCAAAATATAAAAACGTTTGAAGAGGTATTGAAGCTAAAGGTCTTTTCTCATCATTAATGTTTGAAGCCTCTTTCATTTGAGAATTTGAAATTAAATAATTAATGTATAAATTAATTATAATAAAGAACAAAATATCACTTAAAATCTCGTAAAACTTAATACACTAAATAAATCTAATGTTAAATGAATTAAACACTACTTAAATGGTTATATTTAAATATAAATAGTAATATAAAATTAAATAAAAATTAGATAGTTTATAATAAACAATAAATAATTCAAAATATAGCTTTAAATATAGAAATAAAGATTAAATTCAATAAAATAAATATATATCATAAGTTTATTATTTTATTAGTAAAATAGTAAATAAGAAACAAATAATAATCATGATAAAAACAATTTTGCTTAATTCTTATAAAGCTGTAATTTTAGTATCTTTTCTGGGTCATCTTCTTAAAAGTACACTATTGCTCTTTCAACCCAGAAATCTTTTTTTTTTTTAGATGGTTACAAATTCATCATAAAATGAAGCTTAAAATAAGTGAAATATTACTTTTTTTGCATTTTTCACTAAAGCTTTAATAACTGGCATTTCTGTCAAATCTTAAGCAGTTTTTCCTGCAACTGTTTTAATTGATGGATTTGCTTAATAAACTAATAATACTCTAACAGTATCACAATTATTATTTTTGGCAGCTATATGCAAAGGAGTTCTACCCACTAATAATATTATTATAATTTATACTCATATCTCTAGCATCTAAATCAGCACCATTTTCAACTAATAACTTTATAACTTCTATTGAATTATTACTAACAGCATGATGTAAAGGTGTTTTCTATTAGTTATCACGATCATAAACATGATAACGACAATCTCTTAACATACTTTCAATTTCTCTTATATTATCTGCTTTTACTTACCTAAAAAATTCAACACTATTAGGTCTTTCATATGCTTAAGATGGGAATACTTAATTATTAACAACATCATTTAGAGTTATATTAAATCTCTTTAATTTATCCATAAAATTTCTAAGTGCTTTCATTACTCTTAATCTTAGATCTGCCTTTGCTTCTTCATCTAATCTTTAAGTTTTTGGACTCTATAATCTTGTTGATGATTAAGATTTTAGTGTTCTTAAAGTTTTTAATGTTCGATATGCAGATACTTATTATTATGATGGTTACAAAGCCTTTTTATTTTTTCTAACATGATTCATTGTGTATTTAACTTCTCTAATGTCTTCTCTAAACTTTTTAACATTTGTAATCATTCCATTAATTAATTTTTATTCATCTTTTATTAATTATTCAGTCTATTCCTTCATCCTTCCATCAATTTTATCTTGAATTATTCTAAATTATTTATGAATTATTACTAAAAAAATTAGTCCATTTATGATTTAGGAATAAAAACATCAAAATCTTAATTTTCATCTGTCTTTTATCTTTAAGAAGCTACTTAATCTATCATCATCTCATGTTTTTAACCATAATTTCTTTTAAAAACAATATTATTTTCTTAATTTGGTTTCCTATATTTAGAAAACCTAATCTAATCGATGAATTTATTTTAAAGATTTTAAAATTCCCCTTCATCATCAGAAATAAATAATGCCTTAGACATTTCTTTGGCAGATTATTATAGTGCTTATGCAGACTTTTCCATTTATATAATTGATTCATAACTATTTTTTTCTAATTATCCATTCAAAAAGTTAGCTACTATTTTCCCAGTTGCACTATGAGATTATTACATAATAGCACATAAAAAGTGAGTCTACTATAATAATTTTTCTTTTGATTCATCACCCTTAAGTGGATTTAATTAGGCAATACTATTATTGTTTAAATTTCTTAAATTGGTTATTTTATTGCCCCTTCTTAAAGGAGGTTTGTTGAGTGGCAATTAAACAGTTTCAAGTTTATTTCTATATGATGAATGAATATTTTTGTTAAAACTAAATGAAGGATCTGGATCAGAAGGATAAGTAAGTAATTTTGGTGAATTAATAGGAGAACAATTCTAACTAATGAAATCTGTGTTATTAAAGGGATTCACTTAAGACTTGTATAATAAAGTGGACGTTTTGGATATGTTGGGATAACTTATTGTTAGTGTGCTTATTACAATGTGGATGATGTTGTATTTCTAGTTGTTCTTTACTTCTAGGCAGCCTTAAGTTCTGATTTTAGTTTAGCTTACTCTTATGCAAGCATGTGCCCCAATTTAATCATTTTTTTTATAATTATTTTCAATAAAAAAATGAGTTTTAAATTATCATCAATATAATTCATATCTTGAACTTGAACTTCCTGGATTTTACAATCTAATACTACTAAATTAATATACATTGTATGTGGATTAACAATCTGTTGATATTTTTAACTTTATACAATTGGCTTATTTGGTAATTTCTTAGCTAATAAATCTAAATCTAAAATGTCTTATTCTTAAATCTCCTCATCATCAATATAAATCTAAAAGTCTCTCCAAAAAAATGGATTCAGTTTCATATCTTTTATAACATCTTCTGCACTTTAAACTAGATCTTAGCTTAATCCCCACAATGAAATCTTTCCTTTTTTACCTCCAACTAACAAATATTATCCATCATTAGAAAAGTCTAATGAAACTATACTGAAAATTCTATTAATTTATTCAGCCACTTAACCTGTTCCACATTCATATATTCTTATATTAGTAGGTAGCATCTTTTTATTTATTTTAGCATTTTTAGTTAAGAATTCAATTGAAGGTATTTCTATGAATTATTTTTCTGATGCATTAACTAATGGTAAATGAGCAACAGCAAAGTATAATCCAGATTTATCAATTTTTAAATGTCTTGAAAAAGGAGGTACAGTTATTTTGGCTCTCTTTTCTGAACTTTATATTTTATATATATAAACAAATCCATAATTCGATAGAATTAGAATGTAATCTTTTGAAGGATGTAAATCAAATCCAAATATTGTGCCTTCAATTGTATATATACTTAAAGCTAAAGCTGATAATTAAGAATTAGCTTTATCAATTTGATGTCTCCTTACAGAATTATGATTATAAATAGTTAATGAATTAAATGATTTGTCATTTCTTGGAATATAAGATGTTGAATATGCTTGAGTGTTAACTTTAACAATGTCAAATTCTAATTGAAATAGTTTGATTCCAACATATGATATATTTTCAAGTTTATCTTCCAACTTCAATACAGGCTTTAGTTAATTTTCACAATCTAAAATAATTGTAAATCCATTTTTAAATGCTACTCCCAAATACTGATAAGCTGGACTAAACTACATTTCCTTAATTCCTAGATTTTAAGTTAAAGAAATTTGTCTTCGAAATTATACATCCATTAAAGAGAAGACAAACAATTATCCTTTATTATCTCCTAAATAGATATCATCTCTATAATTGTCAATTGCACAACATTTAATTTTAGTTTGAAATTACCCAATATAATATTTATACATTGAGAATTTATCTCCACGAGAGTTAGAGACTCCAAAAGAGCCATCATTTGAACAGGAATAAAATTGATTACTTTGTATAGGATCCCAAGAAACTTAATTGATTCTTCCTCCATGACCATTTTACTAATCTAATATTATTCTTTTATTGATATCCATTGTAATTAGGTTAGAATCATTTAATGAGAAAACCAATAGTTGATTAGAGTGTTTTAATTATATACAATAACAAGTATCATTAGCATGAATTTCTGTTACAAATTTAAGGGTTGATATTTCATATATAAATATTTTACCACTCCTTGTTGATAAATATAAGTATTATTCATAACTAGTAGATGCAGTAAATTCTTAATCTGGAGCTTTTAATTAAGAAATAAGATCTCCATCTGAATTCAAAATATATAAATCTCCTGTAACCAATATTAGAATAATTAAATTTAATGATTTGTTTGTGTCCATATGTTTTATATTCTTTAATGTTATTCTATTTGTAACTTGAACATTATTTGATGCTAAGTTCCAAAGAGTTACCTATCCATTACACATCAAACATATTTTAGATTTTGGTTTTGTAGGTAAATAAGAAAATCCATAGCAAGGATTCAGATTATCTAAATCAGTAATAAAAAGTAATTTATATTATTGAATATCATAAACAAGTATACGATGACCTGTATTAACTTCAATTAGAATCAATTAATTATTAATATTCTCCATAAATATATTAACTGTTTTTTTATCTGTATCAGGAAGATAGTCATCGAAGGTTCGATTAAAAGTATCAAATTCTGATATTTATAGATGATTCTTAAATCCCATACTTACAGATGCAATAAGATTCTATCCACAAAAACAGATTGCCATAATCTAATTTACATGACCATGCATTTAAACTTTTGAGTTATTTGTTGTATCAAGCAATAATAAACTATTTCCTTATTCAAAAGCAACTAAATCATTTTTTACATCAAATGAATTTGTGCCCCCCAGAAAATCAATAATCATATGAAATAAAATTTTATATATGTTTTATTTTAATATATTTAATTTGGTCAAAATCCAGGTGGCTAATATGATCCAAATTGTTATCCTCCATAACCCATAGGAGCTTAATTCATTTAAGGATTTGTAAATCCTGAAGGCTATCCATAACCTGAAGGTTATCCAAAACCTAAATTACTATTACTCATCTAACTTGGTGGACCCAACATTAATTAACCTTAGTTCAATAAGAAATCTTAAGCCATTGGTAAAGCTTATGACTATTATTATTAAGCTGTTTGAATTTCCTATTTTAATTAATATAAATTTTACCTTCTTTTCTCTGTCCTCATGCTTCTTTTAAACATATTCTATCTTATGAGTCAATTCCCAAGTAATTTAAATGAAGTATGGCATAGCAAATTCCATAAGACCTGATCTCCAAGTTAATTCCATAACTTAATCTGGTTTCAATAAATCATAGCATGTGTAAAGACAAACAGTAAAGAATTCATTCTCTTTGTTTTAAATAAAGAATTCCAATAATTCATAGACTAATTTTACATTCTATGATTCTTAAGCTGTTTCAACTGCATCTCTATACATTTAGTCTTATTTACTTAAGTTCATTGATAAATCATATTTCTAGATCTTTCTATATAAATAAGCAGCTATTCTTCTAAATTCAACTAATTCATGAGATTAAGTCTTTTAAGCTAATGCCAATTAGTCAAAGTTTTCATAATTCTTAACTGATTCTCTAAGATTTTCATAATCTTCTATATCTAAATAGAGTTGATTTAAGGCATCATTAACATCTTTATTATTTGAATTTTGAATTTGTTATAAAAATGGTAATGTCAAAGCTAAATAACCAGTATTCTTCATTAATTTAACAAATTTGCTTAAATCAATCTTAGATTGAATACTTCTTAATAAATCATTAATTTATTCTGGTTATTCTTCAAGATAAAAGAGAATACATTTGTAATACAAATCTGTATTAGTAATCTTTTAGAGTAACATAACTAGAACATCATGTGAGAATGCAGTTGGTGAATGCTCAATCATAATATTGATAGCATTATCTGGTTAATCATAATGTTAATGTAAATAAACAGCTTCACTCCAAAGACACATCTTTTCACAAGTTCTTAAAACTTTCAATATGTTCATCTTTTAGAAATATTATCTACAATGTTCCATAACTTTCTTTTATTTATAATGACAATAAAGAACTGCTAATTCTGTGAAGATACCAACATGTGCTCTTTACATACCTAAAGCATTCTCCAATAATATCATCATTTCTTCTTATGCATTATATTCTTCATATTATTTAATCAAAGATTCCAACATATCTGGTACTATGATAATGTTTTAAGCAGAAATTGAAGCATATTTAAATTCAGATGCTTCAACACAAGCAAAACATAATTCTTTCCATGTCTTTGATGTATTAGCCTTTTAAGCTGCTTCAATTGCTTTATTAAATTATTTCAATCTAACCAAACAAGATGCTATTCTTGCATTATTTTTAAGTGCTGTAAATAAGATCTTAGCTGCTTCATATAATTATTAATCATAACATCTCTCTCCTACTTTAATTAAATCAGCTGAATTGCTTGATTAAATTAAAGATTCAATATCTAAATTCTTATCTAATTTAGCATAACAATAGATTAATGAATTATCAATATT